GTTTTTCTATAACCATTTTGGCCAATACCACAACCGGAGACGGGATTGGATGACACCCGGTTTTAACCAAGACCGGATCAATCCGGTCCGGTTTCAACCCAAACAACTGGATGTGACTATTTCCTCCTAGACGACAGCGTTTCAACCAAAATGACAAACATAAAAAAGGATCACACATCTGCTTCAACCCTAAACCAAGCGCCGCCCTCTCTCTTTTCTTTGATTTCTCGTCCTCTCCGCCACAAGAATGCCCAGGAGAAAATTTCTACTTATCTACTCCCCCACTCTCATCGTCTTCTTGCTTCATCCATCATCCTTCCGCTGCCGACGAAAGTCACTTTCCTCTTTCCCACCGACGCCACCGCCGCATCTTCCTCACCCGAAGAGCTCTCTCAGGGAGAAGAGCCTCGGATCCACCCAACACCTTGCTGCATGTCGCCGAAAATGGCGAAAAGAGCCAAGTCGAAGCCGCGGCAGCCGAACTCGCCCTCACTCGACTGATGAACGCCGAGAAAATGAAAGAAAGATCAACGAGGCAGGCGCGGCGGCAGTTGTCTGATCAACTTCTTCTTCATCTCTGTTGTCTGTGTGTACTGTGAGGGTGGGTTGGATCTAGGGGTCCAGGCTGGGGCTTAAAATCGTGTAAGCTTGAGGTTGAAAAAAGAGAGAATAGAGAGAAGGGGTGAGGAGAGATTGGAGAACAGAGAGGTAGGGTTGAGAGATTGGGGAGGAGTTTAATTTTGGAGATTGAAACTGTTGCTGGGAGTGGGATTGGGAAGAAAACAGAGGTAGGGACGAAATTTGGGAATTAAAATTAGGGTTGGGTGGTGTCGTATGGGCTTTGCTGGGAGTGGGATTGTGGGCTGGGCTGTGGGAGTGGGCTATATTTTGTGTTATCCGGTTTTCCGTTTTAACCGAATTGGACCGGGCCGGTTTTTTGCCTATGCATCACAACCGCAAATTGGATTGGGGTGTTTGGAATCCGGTTTTCGGTTGAAACCGGAACGATTTAAACTGCCCGGTTTTCGGTTTGACCGGAAAACCGAGACCGGATTCCCAGCCCTACTGGGAAGTGTCCCGCATGCCATGAGAAGGGGTTGCCGCCTGTGAAGCATAATTTCTGTTTAAGGGAATCCTTGACCAACGCCATATGATCGATAAATAGGTGGCTCAGTCGTTGAAGGGAGATCCAGTGGTTGATTGGTTGGGTTGCCTCTCCCTGAGCGACTTGACTGTTTAGAAGATATGCTTACTGAGTACTTTCACTGTTATGTAATATTAGCTTATAAAAACGTGGACCGACCAAATGAAGCATGTCTTGGCCACCCAACTCAATTTGGGAGAAAACAGGTGAATATTAATGTTCTGGGGGGGGGGGGGATGGCAGGACAAATGGTGATCTTAATGGTGGTGGGCATGGCTGGACAGATGGTGATCCTGATGGCTCCCATCTGTGACATAGGCGAGCTCCGCGACCGAGGGATGGTTTGTGACATAATGGAGGTGGGCGTCGGAAGCGAAGTCCGGGGCAAGCTAGCTCCTCCAACACTCGTCAAGCAGAGGACCATAAAGGGATTTTGAACCCTGGTGATGAGAGTATAGAGGAGGATTAGAATACAAGGCGGTTGAACCAAGACAATCCGAACCCTGATGCAGGGAACCAAGAAATTAAGCCTATAGAGCAAGTTTAGGAGACACAACTGGTGCTTCCGAATATTGCTGCAAAGAACCCAGGTGGTCAGAGTACAGAATGATGATAATGACGACCACAATCATGAAAACATTGCAAACCTTGAGGTGATGAATCAAGACCATGATCAGAGTGACCACCATAATCATGAAGAGAATGCAAACCCGGAGGTGACAAATCAAGTGGGTCCACCGGCCCAGGGGGTGATGCATGAAGACAACCATCATGAAGGGAATGCAGATCAAGTGGTTCCACCAGCTTATGCATGCCAACCATGAAGTCCACCATCATGAAGGTCAGGAGCCTGGTGGAGTGAACCAAGAAGGGCAGAATACATTGCAGGTGACTCAAAATACTGGTGCAGAGAACCCAAGTGGTCAAAATACCAAGCATGTGCTTCAGAATACTAGTGCAGAGAACCCAGGTGGTCATAATGCAGAGGTGGTGATTCTAACAGGTCACATGGTGATGGATGACGACAATGACCACCATTAAGAGATGATGCATGACGACCATGTAGACCGCCATCATGAAGAGGATGCAGATCAGGCGGTCGAAAATGACATCTATGAAGACCACCATCATGAAGAGAATGCATATGAGAATGACAACCACCATCATGAAGAGGATGCATATTAGACGGTCGAGAATGACATCCATGAAGACCACTATCATGAAGAGAATGCATATGAGAATGATAGCTACCATCATGAAGAGGATGCAATTTAGGAGATCGAGAATGATATCCATGAAGACCACCATCATGAAGAGAATGCAGATGAGAATGACAACCACCAAGAACATAATGTCAACCACGACATGGTAGTCGAGAATGTTGGACATATAACATGGAACACCATGTTGTCCAGCCAGCTCAGATGGACGTTGTGGATCAGCGTTTCACAAACGTTCGCTGGTGGCTTACTAGGTTTCAGACGCATTACGATCAACAAATCTGGCCAAATCTAGCGGTGGCTCCACAAGTAGATCTCAATAAAGGCAACAAAAGGATGAGAAGAGCTCGAAATGCGATGTTGATACTTTATCATACATATCTAAATGTCACGGGCTAGCCACCAGTGCATAGAGACTAGGTAAGCCTTGCTACTTGTTAGGGCAATCTGAGTGCCATGTGTAAGGTAATGAGAGTAAGACTTGCTACTTTCTAGGAGAATGGAAATGCCACGGGTCAAGAGTGTAGGTAATCTAGGGGAATTATAGGTATATTTGGGGGGATGATATCTGGGTAGAATATTTTTTGTAAGGACTCCTGGAGTAAATTAGTAATGATTAGGTCCTTATATTAGAGTACTTTAGTTACTTTCGGGATTAGAGAAGGTGTTTTGAATGGTTATATGATTGAACAATGAATTTGGCTACTTTTTTAGAATTCTATATCCTATTTTTGATCGAAGAAGAATGGTCCAAAAAGCAAAGTTGAAGCAGTAAAGTTGGTAAAAGTCTGGTTGGCCTTGAAGAACTCGGGACATGGAAAAGAAAAAGAAGAAGAGGGAGCGTGAGAAGAAGTCCTCATTTAATTTTTTTTTTATAAATAAAGAAGAGGCGAGCCAAAAGGAAAAATAAAGTGGTACTAAAAAGGGTCATCGCAGATGGACTAGAATTAAGCAACAGGAAGGAGGAGCTGCAAACACACAGAATCCGATTGAAGTTGGGAAGAAAAGAGCAAATGGAGACGAGAAGATGGAAAAGAAGAACATGAAGGGAAGAGGCACATAGAAAAAAATACCAACCAAATCGAATTACCAAAGGCGGACCCTTCCGAGCAATAGGGTTGCCTATGCTATAACAATGAATCTGCTAAGTCTCAACTGCCAAGGGTTGAGTAATCTCGAGGCAGTTGCTTCATTGGAATTCGTTGTTAGATTTCATAAAGCCCAAATTGCCTTACTTATGGAGAAGAAACTTGCAAAATATGGGTGGGAGAAAGTACAATGGGAGCTGGGTTTTGATCATGGTGAAGGAGTCCATGTGGAAGGAAAATAGGGTGTGTTGTGCGTGCTTTGGAGAAAAAAATTAAAGATAAAGATTAAAGATAAAGATTAAAGATAAAACGCAACATTATATGGATGCTGATATTGAGGAAGAGAATAGTAGAAGAAAGTGGAGAATCATAGAGTATTTATGGTTGGGCAGACAACAAGGATCATGAACAAACATGAAATCTCTTGCGACAACTTCATGGAGGGAGAAGGGAGGTAGACCCAAAATGGACCATGAATTTGTCGAGTTCAACAACGCTCTGATGGATTGTGGGTTGGTAGACTTAGGCTTTATGGGATACCCATTTACATGGGATAACATAAGAGATCCACTAGCATTTATTGAGGAAAGATTGGACCGAGCATTTGCAAGTAAAATTTGGATGGATCGTTACCTAAAAGCAATGAATTTTTACCTTGACATTGCAGAAGGAAAGGCAATGATCTTTGGAATTCAGAAGGCTATCGAAAGAGGATACTATTCGCTAATTATTGAATTTGGTTGTAAAATATTAATTGGAAAGATCAAAAGGAAGGAGGAATGTAGAAGTGAAGTTGGCCGTATTTGCTTGGATATTCAAGAATTGGGCAAAGTGGCAAGGGTGAGGAGCTGGAATTTTACACCTAGAGAAGCAATTTGTGCAGCACATCTGTTAGCAAAATTTTCTTTTGATGATGATTGTGACTTGTGAGAGATATTGGGAGGGCTGTATGCCCATATTTTTTGCTGATGTAATGGCCCAAGAGGCTCACTTTGATTGATTTTCAATGAAAGTACTCATGAGGTTTCCCCTGACTGTGGTGTACTTGGGATGCTAGATAAAATGAGTAACTTTATGAATGAAAAATGCATTTGGTTATCTTCTTGAATGGGGTATCCGATTTTGTGATTGAGGTGATCATGGTGTACATGGGAACAAGACGAAAATGATTGCATAAAAGTTGAGTTGACAATAAAAAGCACAAATGCAATTATTTTTGCAATTGCATTGATGTGGATGCTCTATTTTTTATAAACTAAAATGTTTATATGTTTATTATTTTATCCATAAATGAAATAAAAAATCTATTTCCATAAATGTTAGTCAATCCATGAGTGGGAAAAAATCGTATTTACTATACTTGAGACCATTATAGAGGAGTACGAGAAATATATATAGTACTTTTCCATCGGTCTAGCCTTAATCCAATATGGTAAAGAGTAAGGTTACAGACCAAACCCGAACAGAAGGCTAACGTGTGTTAGAGTGTGGTATAAGATCCAGCATAGCCTTCTCCCAACAGCTCGAGTTATTGGGACCAATTGGTATATTACATTATATCAGAGCTAGTTTGACCAAGTGGTCATGGTTCGAATTTCCGTGACCCCAATCCCCAAACATGCTTGATCGGAGTGGAATGTACTTATAGACGGTAACTCGTCTGAACCAGAACCTTGTTGGAACTGAAAAAATCTTTCAATTTGAAAGTAAAATTCAAAGGTGGAGGATGAGACAAACGCATGGTAGTACATATATACACACACACTTCACTTGGGGTGAATCATGGTTGTTTACAGAGAAAAGGGTACAATTCAATACACACGCATATGAATTACTAAGGAGAACCATAGCTAAGGTACATGCCGCTCTTCATATACTCAACCAACGAAGAACTACCACTTCCAACAATCGCAACAATCTCCTGAAACTCCTTCCACCAAACCATAAACGAGCTCTCCCGCAGGAAAATCTCAGAATCCACCGCATAGTTCTCAATCTGCTCCATGACGTACCTCTGGAACTCCACCAAGCGGTTCTTCGCCTCACTGGACTCGCCACCACCGCCGCTACCCTTCTGCTTCAACAATCTCACCGCAAACAGAGCCTCCTCCACATCCGCCCAGAAGCAGGAATCTTCAGTCATCATATCCACTGGCTTCTTCTCCTTCTTCTTCATCTTGCCCTTCCCTGCCGCGTCTTCCTTCTGCCATTTCTCCAGCAGAACGTAATGCGGCGACCTCCCCTGTTTCTTGTAGTCTCTGTTTTTCCCATCTCGGTAGAACTCTGCGATGTCGAGTGGCTCCACCATCCGCCGGTAATTCGTTCCGCCGTAGAGGAACATGGTTCGGAAGAACAAGCTCTCCTTTTGGGACTTGCTCTCGGCTTCTTCGACGAGGTCCTTCCAGTAATTGGTCAGGAATTTCTTGTACTTGGCGATTTCTATGTCGGCTGTGGTGCTCTGTATTTTGTAGCTGTCGTAGTACCCTCTTCCTTTGTTTCTGCTGTCCTTTTTATACCATTCTAAGTAGGCCATCTTCATTTTGATCTCTTGTAATTTCCTGCTCTGCTCCAGCGCGCTCCGTTTGCGGAAAGATGAGAATTTCTGCTTCTTCTCCAGCTCTGTAGCTAGGCTGATTGTGCTCTGCTTCTGCTGCATTGATATTATTACGTAATACCCATTTTAAGTACACTTATTATTAGCCAAAGTAAAAAGGAAGGCCTGGAGATCTCTGTTTACCTGATCTAGCGAAATGCCGATTGATTGAAGCTGTAAAGCAATCCCAGCCTGCATTGAATTCGCCATGGGACGACCAAGTATCGAGCTTCCTTGGCAAATAACTCTGGACTTGAGATATTCCACCATTTTCCCATATTCATCAACGCTGAGAGATTCCAATTGATCAGACGCTTTGTGGGAAAGCAACCGCGAAACAATTTCAGGGTCTCCAACGCAATCGCAACTCTGCTCATCACACATCAGAAACGTCCCAAATGGCTCATAATTACTGCTCGATGATGAAGAAGAAGAAGAATGGATCGCTGTGGCAAGGAGGGCAGAGGGAAGATGGTCACGGCTCGAAGCGACATGGAGGAAGCAGGAGGGCCACGTAGAGCGCTGCGAGACGGCCTGGCGGAGGCCTTTGTCGCCGACGAGGGGCGACCCGAAGGTTATGCAGAGAGGGAGCCTCTTTGTCGGCTTCTTGGAGCTCATTCTGTCCAGCAGCCATAGCGTGAAGAGGGAGGCGATTGAACCTCCTAAGGCATGTCCCGTCACTATTAGTGGCGATTTCAGGGCTATCTCATTGCCTTTTGTGACAAGCAACTGCGGTACAAAGTAAAAGGGGTTCAGGTAGAAAAATGTAGAAAGCCATGACAAGATTGGTCACACCTGGAGCTCAGAACTTGAAGTCCAATCTCACCCATAACGGCATGAAAACTATACAAGGCAAAGGAAGCAAGAAGAAGTGGTACCTCAGACGTGAGAGGAAGGAGGTCGTCGAAAAGAGAGGCAAAGCAGGTGATTGCGGCATTGTGGAGGGAGAAAGATGGGTTGGCTTTGGAGCAGAGGAATTCAAAGTGAGGGAAGTCCTGCTGCTTGAGATCTGCTGATGAAACCAACTCTGTCCCTCCATCTCCTTGGAGAAGATGATCAGGAGAGTAAACTGGACATGTCGCAAATGCAACAACAACTGCTGCGTTGTCTTTTTGCTTGTAAATTTGAAACCTTGGAGACAGAGACGATGGAGATTGCTGAGGTGGGTTTGCCTTCATTTCTGAGTATAGACTCGAGATGGAGGTCCATGATAGAGGTAGCAAATCTGAGTTTACCACACAACTTGCCAATTCCAGCCCACTGTCAAATCTGCAACATCAAAACAGGTAAGAACTTTAGTTGGCAGAACAAGTACAAGAAGAACAAGAGATGGTTTGATTGGGTAAGACATACATTTGAGGCTGGTGGAGGCTCATGGTTTCTCCAAGCTATATGGGGGGAATGGGTTTATAAGCTACAACCTGTTCTTTTTTCCTTCCTCTTATAGAAGTGATAGGTTGGTTAACTTTTTCATTCTTTTTTTGGTACTTTAATGGAAGGAATGGTTAACTTTGCTTAGGATAAAAGCTGAATGCTATACTATGGGGTTCCTTGGGCAATGAAATGGAGGGAATCAGAACCATTGTGGCTTGATGTGGTTGAAGAAAGGGACCAAATATGTTTGCCAAGAGAAAGTAAAGTGGGCCCAAGAAGAAGAAGAAGCTTGGGAAGAAGAGGTCAATGTGTAATACGAGGTGATCCTTTGTGCCTTCTCCTTCACACTTTCAGCAGAAATCTAGTTGAAAACTGACTTTAGGAGAAGCAGCTTCTATAACATTAAGTGATGATCTTACAAACTTAAAGTTACATCAGCAAATCTACAGAACTTACACCAATGTTTATGTACACATGATTGTAAGTTCACATCCACTAAATGAGAGCATCCATTACTTCCCACAGATGCTGCAACTTAGCCATTGATCATCAGAGACCAGTTCGTCTCGATAGCTCTAATTGTCGAAAGAAAGAGGATCAAGGTTGTATCTTATGCCATTACTTTATCTATACCCTCGAACGAAACTCTATTATTGAGCTTGAAGTTTTGCATGGGTTGACTATATGATAAGCTTCGATCATTGATGACTATCAGGATCCAAACATGCCGCCATTTTTGCCAACAAAATTTCCTGGTATCATGTTAAAAACCAATTCGTTCGAATGAGGCGAGTTAGTAACCGTATCAGAGCCATACTTGCGGTACACCCCTTTCCTCATGTACTCAGCCAACTCTGATCTGTGACCACTCCCCACAATCCCCTGAAACTCTGCCCACCACTTCATAAAACTACTCCCAGCAACAAAAACCTCAGGATTCAACGCATAGTTCCCAATCTGCTCCATCACATACCTTTCAAACCACAACAAATAACCTTCACACAACCTCTTCTCTTCTTCGTTCCCACCACCAAACCTCCCAAAATCCTTGATCAACCCACACGAAAACCGCGCCTCCTCGACGTGAGCCCAGAAGCAGGAATCCTCCGTGAAATTACCATCAACATTCCTCTTCTTCGACAACAAATCCATCGGATGATGGCTTTCACAGTCTTCCTTCCACCATTTCTCCAAAAGAACGTAATGCTTCGACCTCCCCTGTTTCACGTAGTCTCTGTTTTCTGTTTTCCTGTAGTACTCTGCGATGTCTAGTGGCTCCACCATTTTCCGGTATGTGTTCCCGGCGTAGAGCCACGTCATCCTGACGTAGGCGCCTTCTTTCTGAGGGTGGCTCTCGGCTTCTTCCACCATTTCTTTCCAGTAATTCGTGAGGTACTTCTTGTGCTTGGCGATGTCCATGTCCGATGTGGCTCTCTGGTTCTTGTAGCTGTCGTAGTAGCCTACGCCTTTGTTCTTGCAGTCCTTCTTGTACCATTCTAAGAAGGCCATCTTGATCTTGATGTCGTTTAGTTTCCTGCTGGGATCCATGGCGTTCCTTTTGCTGAGGACCAATAGCCTCTCTTTTCGGTACAATTGGGATGCCAGGTCCGTTACGCTTGGATGTTGGTGCTGTTATTGGACGCCAAAAAACAACAGCGTGAATTCAGTAATCAATGGTCCAAAGTACTAAGTCATCTTGACAGTGCATTCAGTGAAGTTTTTCTCACCTGATTTCTGGCAATCCCAATAGAGTCAAGTAACAAGATAATCCCAGCCTGTAATGAATCCGCAACTGGCCAACCAAGATCTGAGCTCCCCTTGCACAAATCTCTACGCTTGAGATGCCCCACCATCAACCCATAATGCTCAACAGGCAATCCTTCACCAGAACCCAAATGAGCCAATTCGATCCATTTCCGGAACAAAATCGAAACTACATCTGGGTCCTCTACGCAAGTGGAATCCATCTCAGAGCACAGCATAAATGTGCCAAAAGGCTTGTAATTTGAAGCCGTCATCAATAGCCTCGGGAGAAAATCATGGTTGGAAACCACATGTAGGAAGGAAGACTTCCACGTGGACCGCTGGGAAATGCCACGGTGGAGGCCGGAGTCACCAATCAAGGGGGAGCCAAATGTGATGCAGAGTGGGAGCTTCTTCGATGGCTTCTTGGACGGAAGCTGACTCATACCGTCCAGCAGCCATAGTGTAAACAATGAAGCTATCGACCCTCCAAGGGCATGGCCGGTCACTATCAATGGCGAATCCAGAACTATCTCGTCATCTCGCGAAACAAGAAACTGAGAGAAAACAAACGAATCCCAAAACAGAGCATTTCATTTCAGATTTGGGTTTGTTGAGATGGAGAAATGTAAAGATGGAAAAAGGTTGGAACTTTACCTGATGTGGGGAAGCCTTGAGGTCATCGAAGAGAAGGGCAAAACTGGAAACTGCAGCTGAGTGGATGGAGAAAGAAGGGTTGCCCCTGGAGCAGAGGAAATCAAGGTGTGGAAAGTTTTGAGCTTTGAGGGTTGCTGATGTCAACAAATCTTGACCTCCCTGCTGTTGCAGATGCTGTGGGGTGTAGATTGGTGAAGTGACGAAAGCTATAATGGTTAAGTTATGTTGCTTGAAGATTTTGAATGTTGCAGGAGAAGGAGATTGCTGATGGGGGTGGCTGTTGACTTCGGTGTACAGGTTGCAGATGGAGCTCCATGATTGGTCCAGTAGTTCTGAGTCGACCACTGAGCTCGCCAGCTCCACGCCACTGTTGAATCTGAAGAAACCCGAAAACAGAGCAATCAAGCACCACCTAGAAGCCAAAAAAGAAAAGCAGAGGAAAAGAAGAGAAGGAGCAAGTGATGAAATGATTAGCTAGCAAGTGGAGGGGAGAGGAGTTGGGAGGTTTACATAGGAGGCTGGTGGTTCATCTTTGCCTGGATGATCAACTTTGCTTAGGATAAAATCATGGTGAAGGAATCTAGCTGCCCATGGAGCTGCGCTATTCTCCTTGACAATTGGTTGGGATGGATGCATTTACATATAGATGGTGCTTGCAGAGAGTAGGTCAATGAACTGTGAATAGTTTAATTCATCTTTACTTTGAAATTAGGGAGATGTTTTGTCTTTTTAATCTCTTTCCTCCTCAAGGTGATTTTGTTTATATTTTTGGTTTGGTGAGCTGAGAGATGAGAAATTGCTTTTGTCAGGCTTGTCGAGGAAGACGATGGTGATTAGCAAGAAAAAGATGCCACGTGGCATCTTTTAATTGGCGACAATAAATAAAAAGACAAGGTGGTAGTTGTTTTAAACCGCCGATGTAACAACTGGAAGACTTCTGTTTCTATGAATAGCAAGTAACTTGCCTTCAAGCTTCCTTCCTCCCAATCATAATGCATGAAGTCTTTAACACGACTACGGGGGAGCCAGCGAACCTCAGTATGTCAATGTCACCATAGAATAAAAAATGTGTACTTGGTTAAATTCCAATCTGCTTTTAGACTGAAATATCAAAGAAATGAGGTCAGACCAAAAAGAGTTTCCCGGAAGTTAGCTTCAAAACTCACTTGAAATTCTAAAGCTGATACATGGTGGGATTGTGTATACATTCTACAGAAATAGTGCTGTAAATCAATCAAAACTACTCTAAAGCCTTAGTAAGAAACACGTCGCACCTGCTACAAAATCGAATCGGAAGAACTTTCAGAAATAGTCCGCTGGCTAGGGATTGACGCCCAGAAAGAAGCTGTTCTGAGGCCTGAACTCAGATTTCTGGGGTATTAAGGACTGGTTTAACTTTTACAGTTTTGCAAGCTATACTTCTTTCTGGGACGAGGGGCGACCTGTTCTGACCTGGATGCCTCTCGTGTAGATGTTTGTGATGGCGAAGAGTAATAGCACGAAAACTACTTGGGCGCTCATTATTCCAAAATGGCTGATGCTGTTGCCTATCTCCATCCAACTTCCTGTGTTTCTGACCTGCATTTCCCCACAACATTTAAGGATTGTGGAAATTATCAAATTTGGTTTTAATAAGTTGGAAGTGTTCAACAGCACAATTCAATATGTAACCAATAGTTTTTTCTTTAAGAAAAGTTAACGAGGCTTTGCAGCTATACAAGACTTGAGAGCGTTTATTTTTGCTGGCCCAGAATCAAGTTGACTCAAGGGGCACAACAACCATCTAGTTGACATATGGTAAGTCCATAATGTATTAAATTACTGTACATTGCAGCCCTTTCTGCTTAGCTTAGAATCAAGTTGGCCCAACCCAAGGGCATGGTTGTTACCTAGTTGATGAATTGCAGGTGCATAATTTATTAAGGCGTCTCAATATAATAGAGGCCCACGCACTGGAGCAAGTCAATAAAACTTGATATAGACTGGATCGGTTAAAGAAGAAGAGCAGGATCATACCAGGAAGAAGAAGTGGATAGTCATCACGTCTGAGCATAAAATGACCAGAAAATAGCACCCCAGTCTCGGTATTCGTAGTAGCTTTGTTATTGCACTGAATGCACATCTGCATCGAATGTGAGATAAATAAGATTAGCAATAAGAACTTAACTCAAATCCAAACCATAAGAGAGTAGGATTGGGATGCTTATCTTTCTGATTTTACTTACATGACGAGCATGAATGGAATAAATAACTTGAAGATAAGAAGGGCTGCCATAAGAAACGGCTGCAAATAAAAAGAATATCACATAAGTCGGGGTTATAAGATTCTCACACCAAAAACAAACAAGCGGACCCATAGGGTTTTTATGTTTACTTACACTGAAAACCGTGATGAACCTGTAGACAGATGAAATTTCAAAACTTGCTATACTTGCGAAATTCCCCGTCCCAAAGAAGGCAACATTAAACAAAACCATCTGCAAGGGGGAAAAAATCAGCAGATTACATTTAACATCTTTTTCAGAAAATATATCTCAGTAAGTATCAACTTCCTGAAAACTGAGACTCTAGCTCCACTAACTAGCAACAATTAATCAGTGGTTGAAGCAGAATAAAATTCCAGGTGCACTTACGAAAGTTAATGGGATCCTCATGTCAGAAAGCTGCAAGAATCTATCTCCATTTTCAAGTTTGGTATTGGCATCCATGTTTGTTGCAGATGACATTTTCTTCGCCTTAGTTAACTGAAGAAGGGTGTTCTCAAATATAATCCACGACATGAGTACAAGAGAAAGTGCACCATAGAAGAGAGCTTCGTATCTGCAGGTAATCAGCCAAGTAGGGACAAAAGTACATTAATTTTCATCTTAAAGTGGTTGACCTGCACCCTTTATTACTCAATGCTACCAATAGGATATGGTTAAAAGGTAGCTAGCAGTTCTATACCCAATGGAGAGTAGCAGGAATGTGGGTGCAAATCCAAGAAAAATAGATGTAAGCCGAGACAGGAGACCATTCTCAGAGAAAAGTGGAAGAATCATGGAGAAACCTATCGTAAAACGAAAACGGAACAAGAATTAGTATAAATAATGGTGTCACTGTAGTTTACAAAATAACCATATATCACACAGCACATCAGCTGGGCTTCCAACAGTACAACTAAAGTACAGTACAGTACAGTACAAATTAAGCATACCTTCAGGGCAAGCTGAAGTTGATGTATTAAAATCTTTACATAGTTTGCAAAAATAGCTTGTTTTTATCAGGTCTTATAGGAATTTCTCATTATTTTCTCAATCAGAAAATAGAATTTGTGCTTCTTCATGCATTGAGAAGGCTTATATAGAAGAAATAAGATACATGTATGCCAGGAAATGATTTGTCCTGCAAATAAACATACTTTTCAGGCGATATTGGATTACTTATGAGGCGCTTGTCGTCAGGATTTTCATTGTAGAAGGCAAACTAATAGCAGGGAATTCAGATGATATGAATTACATAAAACATAGATAGTTTAAAAGTATACCTGCAATCAACCAATTAATCAGTTGGTGCCATGTGTGCAATTCTTGTTTCTCTGTTCTGTGAGACGTTGACAATGGCACCATGATTGATGATAATCCAACGAAAAGAGCCTACACTTTCAAACAAAATATACATAATGTCAAATAAGAAAATTTGAGGAAACTATGAATAAAAAAAACAAATAGAGATCTTTCACACCTGTATGTAGAATAACATTGGGAACTTTAGTTTCTCCTTCCCATGAAAACATATGTTCATCCAGTACTTATTTCCTTCCGAATGAAAATCCAGCCACCTTGCAGCTGCTCCCATTATGACTATCAGAACTCCACTCGTAATCCTGCAGGCAAGTGACCACTCATTATTATAAGATAATAATGAAATAGGATGTAATTGTTGCTTCTTCACTCATTCGGACTTTGGGCCAATATAAAAATAACAGTAAACACAATTCAACTTCAAAATGAGGCAGCACTCAGCATGAAATTCGAGAAACAACTTACACTAGTTCAGTATTATCAGGAATTTCTGCAGGCATCAGAGTGAAAACAGACAAACACCAGCATGTAGCACAAACAAAAACAGGTATCCATGATCTCCATGGAATCTTGTTGAAAAGATAGACAGGCGCCACTATTCCCACAGTTAAGAAACACCAAGTATAGAGCTTTCTTTCTGTGAAGCTATGAACCTGTTAATCGTAGCAGCAGAGATGTTATGTAACTTGCAGCTTCTGACATGGCATAAAAACTAAAAAGCTTGAGAAGAGCAGACATACTAGATACACTTACCAGGAGTTCAAGGACGACTATTGACACACAAAAAACAGCTATCAGTGTAGTAACAGTCCTGGACTTTCTCTCACTTAAGTACCTCCATATCAATTGGATAAAACGATATTCACCCAGTATGTTGGTCCAGAGAAACACAGTCATCGCGATATATGAATGATAAAGGGGTGGAGAATGTTCCACAATCAAGAGAAGTGAAGTTATGCCCATGACTAAAAATCCAAGCAGATAAACCTGTGAAACAAACCAAAATTTGCATCAAAAGAAACAATATGGTTACTTGAGAAACCAAGATTCACAGGTAAAAATTGGCAGCTGCCACAAATGTTAGAGCTGTTTTTATCATAAACCGTAAAATTTGAAGGAATAACGGAAGGAGACCAACAATTAAGTAACACAGTAATGAAACACACTTAACACAAACCAATGAAGATGTCTCCACAAACCATAGAATTTCCACACTTTATAATTTTCATGCAGGCACTGTGATAGATGGCAGCATGCCAACTTCCAAGACATCAGTCTCGAAAACACTTCCTGGACAAAAGTGTTTTAATTAACAAATATTTAATTTACAGAAGTTTAAAATAGGATGGCTAGACTGACTAAGATATCCTTAGGTATTTTACCAGAAATGTTCATTGCATATACGGACAATTAGCTAACAACCAGCTACAATTAGTAATTCTTTTACAGTTTTTTCCCACTAGTTCTGAAACGTGAACTACAAGCATGAACGCTTACAGTTTTCTTTCCAGAAGTATGTTTCTGTGGCACAGCTGGTTGCATCTTCATGATATCTCTCGCCAGTGAAGTATACGATTGCAGGACATGAAGAATAATATACAGCATCCAGCCAATGTACCCCAGAGTAATCATGGTCATTAACATCAACCAATCATATGTCTGAAAATAGTGAAGTCCTTGCAGAGCCAAGCTTCTTAGATCTTCAGATAGTTTCACTGCAGCTTCATAGTCCTTAATGGATATTAGAGATTCAATCTGCTCCAGTAAAGCTGAATGATTAGCCAATGGTCCAAATGGCTTGAAATACAAGGAGCTTGACTGCTTCATCTCTGAGATCGTCAGGGAAATCGATGTGACACAGAAAATGGAGCTATGTCATCGGACATACTTGTCTCCTTTTCACTAAAACAGTTAATTTCTACAAGTTGGAAGGCTTCAGGTACTGTGTTGGAACTTAACAACAGAAGGAAAGGATACGTGATTTGCGAAGAAACTGGCTCAAAATCTGTTTCGTGTTTGCTAACACAGCTTCAACTTCTTCTGCCTGGACAAAAAAAAAAAAAAAATGAGATACTTTCAACAGGTCTAAAACCATCGTCTAGCAGCCAGATGTCATATTATGCAAGATATATCATGTTTGTTTTGACAGAAAACTATATTGTATCTATATATATACTCATATAATAATACTGATATATTATAATACTTCAGAAATGTTTACTGGATGAAAACACAAACCTACCCTAGGTTTGAGCCATGAGACCAGCATGCAACTTATGAAGAAATATAAAGTTTATCGGCAACTTAAACTGAGTTGGTAATGCTGTACTAACCTTGATCATGCTTATGTAGCCTAGTGGCAAGTTTCCCACCGAGTTAACGGGACAAGGTATGCCAACAAGTGTTGACTGCCAACAGAAAAAAGCAAAAGCAAAGTAATGTAAGTACCTCGGAAAATATAAAAAGTTTAGAGTTGAAAGTAATTTTTCAAGCTCAGCACATAGAATTGTTAGAAGTATATAACCATAAGAGGTGCAATATCAGCTTGATTAACGTCCACTCGTTCTATGCCACTTAGGCCCCATTCTACTGGAGTAGGTGTGTCATGTTCATGCTCATCAACGAAGCGTAAACCATGATCAGAATGGGTGCTCTCGGATACCGGCCTTGGATATTTGACTCCTGCTCCCCAAGCCACAAGGGGAGTATCAGTGTTTGTAGGATGCCCATCACCATGACTACCTGTTAGGCCAACCATTAATGTGAAGGCTTAGACTAACAAAGAGCGGACAGACAGGCGCTCAGAAAACTTATTTTGTAACATAAAGCAGTGGGATACTTCACAGTGATGTAAAAGAGGTTCTGGAACATCTAAAAATGCATGGCTACATACAATTTAACCATGTGATGTGAACATTTTGCTGTTCTGAAAGCATGAGAAATCTCTTTGCAAAATGGATAATATAACAGGGCAATGGAAGCGAAAATCTGGCTTGTTAATGTTGTTTGTATCCAAATAATCAAGAAGGCAAGGATCGGAACTATTTATCAATGTCTCGTAGTTAAAGCATGAAGAAGCAAAATGGATGAGATAAATTGTTGTCTACAGACCTTTATCGCTCATTCCATGGTCAGCTGTAAATATGTAAGCAGTACGATTGTCCTTGTAATAGTCTTCAAGAAGAGCATACATGCGTTCGGCAATGCGGTCCACAACCTTAACATTGTTGAGATAAATAGATGAAAAGGGCCTGTGTGCATGTCCATTTGAATCACACCCCAGTAGATGCAGAAATATGACTAGTTTATCTTGTAGAAGTAACTCCTTCAACTTTGGGTCTTCGTTTGACCTATTCAGAAGGCTCTGAAATTGATCAAAAGACCACTCATCCAAAAAGGAAGCATCTGCATTAAGACTATTGAATTGATAAAGCATTCAGTAAAACTGAAAATCACACAATAATGCTAGTGTATACGAAATGAAAGTTTCATGGCAGTACGTTGAAATGATATATTTTGATCACATCCATGACTGAACATTTGAATGCCACAATCTCGAGCTTCCACCAGTTATGAAACCTCAAAATTAAACCTAAAGAGAAAACCGTCTCACAAAAGCAGTTCAAAGCCATGAACTTTAACTAACCAGTTGCGAAATCTTCAAATTCATGAGGATAGCTCTTCCATGTGCTATGGGGCAACGCACTACAGAAGATTGGAACAATATCTGGGCTCCCATAAGAAAAGGTATGCCTGCTTTGATTAAAAACTGAATCGAACTCCACTGGATTAGCTTTCCATCCTGCACAAAGCAATGAATATGTTCAGTCAATTGCATCTATCGTACCTTTCTAGATTCTTAAATAATTGCGGATGAAAGGAATCCAATGATCAATTGACTACCTTTTGTGACAGCACTAGGATCCTCGTAAAACCCAGCAATGATAGCTACATGGCCTGGTCTTGATTCGGTAGGTGGCCGAGCATGAGAGACTCCCCATCTACCTTGGTTCCTAATTACACTCCTCAAAAATGGTGCTCTGTAGTTTCCCTCCACATCCGGCTCAAAGAACTTATCAGCACGTAATCCATCAGCTGCAGCAAATACTTTTTTCAACTCAATGAACTAACTATAAAGCAAGTTTCAAAATGAAAACGTTGAAGAAAACAATATCCCCGCCTCTCAGAGGCATTTTATCAAACACTTCACAGTTGCCCAACCAAAGGGAAAAGTAATTGCTAACAAAGGAGCGAGCTTTACCGACGAGAAGGACGAGGCGTTTGGCGGGGGCAGTGAACCGAGGCTGAACGGGATCCATGCCGTGGACAATTGGTGTCTTGAAGTAGATGTCGAAGATGCTGAGCATGTAAACAGCGTGGAGGATGACTCCAAGTATAACTAGCCATGTCTCTCGTCTCTTCAGCCATTTCCTTCTCCTCGCTACATCGGCTGCCACTCTTCCGGCTCCGGCTCTGGTACCCAGGATCCCGTCGGCGCTTCTCATTGCTGCCGGAAGATCTTGTTTTCTATTTTGCTTTCCTCTGTCTTGCTTTCCCCTTTCCGTCCTTCGCTCGGCCACTTTTCAGTTAAACTGTTTATTTCCGGTTCCGGTCTGCAGTGTTGAGTCTTGCCGGGGGAAGTTGTTGAACGAGGTTGGATCTTGAATTCAGATATTATGATCCAGATTCGGGCCTATAGCGGCCCAATGCATAATAAATCATTATACTATGACTTTTGGGCCCATTTTTAGCATGGTTGACACACCTCTTTTGTTTCAGTTAGGGCCCAGGTTCTTTTTTTCATGGATGGTTTATCCAATATAGGTAGTTTACAAATATTGTGAAGTCAGAGGTAATAGTTGACAAACAGTCAAACTGTTAATGAAAGAGCTTTTTGGATTAGTGAACCACTAGAAAGATGACGGACTTCAACGGTTTTACTCTATAATCTATCTATAAAATTATTAAAGGGCTTTCATTTTGAAGCCACTGCCACGTACCCCTTCCTGCAATTTCAGGCAATCCACGTCAGATTATAAGAACCATGTTCCGCACAAACAACCGTCGCTTCTTCCCCTGAAGTATCCCGCCGTTTCCTCTACTCCATCCGCCAAATTCTGCAACTGTAGTCGTCTCATGCCTGCCCCATCCCAACCTATCATTCGTTTTTTTCCTGTAAACTACACTGCAACAAAGTGAATTTTGCTTCCTGCCACGGTGCCACCGCAGCCGCCTGTCCCACCGCCCATCGCATCTCTCGGCCTCTTGAAGACCCCCTTGCCGTTGCCGGTCTCTCTTTTGGTTGTCATTCCATAACCCTCTGTTCTTTTAGGAGGGAAAGGGGAGGGAAAGGAAAGAATGGGAGGGAATTGTGCTTCCCTAGAAGTTTTCCGCTGTTCTCCAAGCAAGCTACAGTGGCAAGGGACGGAAAATGGAAATGAACTTTTACTGTTCCATCCTCCCCTCCGATTTGGAGGGAAACTGATTAATGGTGGGCCAATTAATAGGAAAGTTAGTTTTTAATTAATAAATATGATAACTGGGAAGTTAATGGTTGGCTTGGGGAGAGAAACGGATAGCAATTAATAGATAATAGAATAATTGGTTGTAATTCTATAGGGATAAAGGAGAATTTAATAATTTAATCAAATACTAGAAAGAGATAATTTAATACGCGTATAAATGAACACGAATTAATTAGGAGAATGATGAAATAATTAAATTATTTAATCATTGTTACGGGATAGGAATTTTTTTGTGCGTGTGGCGTGTGAAGGAAGATAGGGATGGCAACAAAAGTACAAAACCCGAACTCACATGTACCTTATCCAATCCAACCCGGTTAACGCTGATAAAACCCGTGTTGACGGGTTTTGGGTGGGTTTTGGTTTAAACCCGCTACACTGTTCATTGAGTTGGGTTGGGTTTGAGTTTAGGTAAACCCGCCGCATGGGTACCCGCTCACACGCATATAATTAATCTTTTCGGGTGTTACATTTTTTATAGAATGAACATCATCTTGTACTACAAAGGTAATCAAATTTGTATGAAAAAATAAAATAGAGTTAAATGAACAATTTATGCTCCGTTAACAAATAATAAAAATGATGAGGGTTATGTAGAAATAGGTTATTCATAATATTCATTTTCGCAATTTTGCATATACTTACTATTACATAATCAATAAAATAACTCATATAAAAAATCAATATAATAACATATCTATCACACTTTCCTATATACTTATCCCTTTCACTTTTCCCCCATAAAACAACATTTTCTCTCCAATTCCCTTCCCCTCCAATTTTCCTTCCCCTCCAAATTTTCCCTTCTCTCCCCTCCTTTTCCTCCCCTGCTTCGGAAACAGGGGGTAAGAGTTTTTGATTGCCATGTCTTTGGTTTGCTTTAATTAAATGGATTTCTCTGTTGTCATTGGATTATTTTGTGTTTTGCTGAAAGGGATTTGGATTATTTGTTGACTTGATTGGTTTCTTTGTTATCAATTATTTCTTTCTTTCTTTCTTTCTTTCGTGCAGATTTGTGCTCCATTGATTCGACACACTGTCCTCCTTCAACGGCCGACTCCCACTTCCTCGCCTAGACATTGATCGGTAAATGGTCCAATAACCACCCTTCTCTTGGTAGGAGTGAAAAAAACCAACAGTAAAAAAATCCCTCGCACTCTCCAATCCGCAAATCATGCCAATGTATCAGCCTTGGAACAATGATATGATGTTCATTTTGTGCATGCTTTGTGTTAAATAAATTCGAATTAGAAGCATCTGCATGTTAATAGATTCATTATAACTTTTGTCTACAATTGTTGTTTTTCTCACAAACCATTGTCCTATATTATTGTGCAGCTCCAGTGAATTACTCTAATTTAAGTTATGACTCCAACTCAAGCATCTTCTTCTTTGGCTCTTAGCCATTATTGGCAACTCTAAACCGTCATATATCAGGTTTCACCAATTACACCATCATTCTATACAAATAACCTTGATTATAACTGTAAAGTTTAATATGATAGTGACTATAGGATAGTAATAGGATGTCATAAATCCATCGTAAATGGATTGTATAACACGAGTAGAACTTATGCATGTTTTAAGTTGTTTCAAAAAAATGGAAGGTGTGGGTTATTGCCCTAATGTTGCTAGACATGGCACAACCATTGTTGCCCTTTGCAAGGATGATTTGATTTATAGAGTTGTAGATATATTTTCAATTTTCAGACTTGACGGAATAGGAAATATCGTCAAATGCTTTCACCTATAATTGCTTGATTTGTGGCTTTTATATCTCGCGTTTAAGGGATGAAATTTTAATAATGTTGAAAAAATTGGTAGAATGTAATATGCTACCTAATTTATTAACCTTTAATCCATTTATTAGTTTAACAATAATTGAATTAATTAAGAGGTTAAAGCTATATTTCAAAGTAAAGTGCGATTAGATACCAAAATTTAGTTTTTATTTTCTTACAAACTAATGTCCTATACCATTATAAACTATCATAAATTGGAGGATAAACTTATACTTCTACATACTCTTCTTAAAATAACAATTCAAAGTAAAAAAAAGCAACAATAGGGCTAACTGCCCAACGGGCAGGGTCGAAGCTAGTTGTCTCTAATAAAATGATTTACTTAGTAAAACAACGTATATCATGTTTTACAACCTCTTTCTACCTTAAAAGAAGAAACATTTTGGGAAGTTCCAAGCATAAGGGAACCTTGGTACTATAGTCCTTCCTTGAGACAGGAACAACACATTCACCGAGACAAATAACAAGGTCATTCTTATCCAAGTTGCAATGCTCCATCATATATTATACTGAACCTTCTGTGCAGGGCTGAATTGCTCCGAGAAAAATGGATGTACAAGTTAAAACCAACACAGATCAAGATTAACAGTAACGCTCTTATATTGATGAAGATGGACATGGGAACAAGATCAACATACTAGCAGCAGCAAGAAAACATTACACTATCAAGCAACCCCATTTGATTTTCCGATCCCGCTGGTCTCTCTACGTCAAAGACTTTTTCCGATGATCAACATTACATAGCTTCTAAACCCACAACAATAAGTAGCAAGAAACAGGGGAAACAGAGTTTTCTCTTAAGGGCACTTGGGCTTGTCAAATTTAGTGGTCAAGCCAGTGTAGCAAGTCCCGCACTGCTCACGGTTGCCATAAGTACCAGGGGGAACGCATTTGCACTTGCTGCAGCAACTCACGCAAGCCCTGTTGCACCGATTCGGCCTCGAGTGCAGCTTGCACCGATTGGCGCACAGTGGGGCGCAATCTGCAGGAACAGGGGATAGATGATGATGATGATATCAAACATTACTACTAACTAGAGCTACAACGTAGCTTATAAAGAGAATGGAGGCTAAAGTGTTGAGCTTTCTGCTGAATCAATACCTTTGATTGACTTGACAAAGGGCGATGGAGAAGGAGGGGCAGCAGTTGGGGGCTTGGGGACTGGAACAGGGGAAGGGGCAGGGGCAGGGGAATGGCTGGGTGGCTTGGGGACAGCTGGAGAAGGAGTCGGAGTTGGTGGCTTCACCAGTGGCGGTGGGGAGGGTTTCGCCGGAGGTGATGGTGAAGGAGAGGGAGTCGGCGCTGGCTTCACCGGCGGTGTAGACGGTGGTGGAGGAGATTTGGCATACTTGGTGCTACTAACAGCCTCCTGGGTGGATGAAAGAAAGAGACAATTAACGCACAAGTAAAGAAAAGTGAATCCATGTAAAAGAAATGGATCAGACGAGTTAAGTTAAATGATGAGTTGGTTTTAACGTTACCTGGGAGATGAACTGATGATCTTGGTCTGCGTAGGAAGAAACAGCTAGGACAGTAGCTGTAAGTAGAAACAACAACATAGATCTGGACGCCATTGGGGAAGAAGACGAAGCAGGGGAACTACTATTTGGCTGTGTCTCAGTGAGATATGTGTTAGGTAAATGGGGTTATAAATAGATGTAGGTGGAAGTGAGCAGGGGTGCTCATTATTATGTAATGGAGTTTAATGTTGGTCGGTGACGGTGACAAATTGAAAACATCTTTTTTACTGGGGAAGCTATGATAGGTTGTGCAAAAGAAGAAGCTTGCCAGCTGCTTTCTTATATTTTTTTGGGGTGAAGCAGTCAGGCAAGCAGCTGCTTTAATACATTAGACAAGACTGGGATGGAGTGCAGGGGAACATGAGTCATGGGCCAGCACGAGCAGTAGTCCACAACTCTGACTTTTGAGGTTCCAACCCACATGGTCTCTCCATAGTTTAGGGTGAACAAACACACCCGCAAACTTATTTATCTGTCCAATCCGACCCAACCCACCCGTATTTATCGCTAATATGAAGGTTTGGGTTGGGTGAGCGTTTTCTTTTGTACAACCCATCTCTATTGGGTTGGGTTTGGGTTTTGGGTTACACAACCCGTAGAACCCGACCCAACCAGTATTCCAATTATTGGTAGGAGTTCGTATCCAAAAATATTTATGTCATATATAGCCATACTTATGTGAAAATTAAGATATTTTGTCATGTTTTTCTCTCATGGTCTCCCTAATCTAATGCATTCTTCGGCTTAAAGTTTAGACATAAATTTAATATAGCCATAGTAGCAATTTTCAATACCACGGGCCAAAGTAAAAAATATGTGTATAATTTGGGCCAAACTAAGGTATTAACCCTATATATATATCAATAATCAATCCTAGCATTCAAACGGGATAAACCTTCCCATTTTTCCGGCGAGACAGAAGAGCCAAAATGCAACGTTGTTGTGTGTGTCGTTGAAACAGAGCATTTCACAGGTTATCCAATTTGAGAACAACTCACTCCAGCTGTGTGTTCATGAAAGACATGTCAGGAGGTGAGGTGAAAAAAGATGACAAATGTAATGAATAAATAGCTATGTGCCTGTGCTGTACTGTGCTGTGCCTGCATCATCATCGTCATCATTATTCATCTACCCATTTGCTCTGTTCAGAGCATCATCAGTCAGTAGCTTAGCTTAGCTTGCTACAGAGTGCTCACTGCTCAGTCAGTGAGATACCCTTCCCCTGCAACACATGTGAGATCACATGCTCAATTCAAACTGGTCAAACTTTTGTATGCGAATGAATCTGGAGACAACCTAGACACATCCCCGTCACGAACCCGCCCATGGCCCAACTCAGCATTACAACACCGGCTCAGCCCGGCCTCTTCATCAATTCACCTGGCCAGCCCACCCCTTTCTCTCCATTGGGCCGGGAATAATTAGACTTCAATGCAATTGTATTTCGGACTGGTGAGAAAAAGACTATTTAATATGCGTATATAAGAACGTATGTATGTTTATGTGTTTAGAGTTTTTGTATATGTAATTCTGTCAAATTTTTTCATTTTTATAATCTAATTGATAATTTATGCATTTATTTCTTTAAATATAATTATCTTTTGACATAATATTAGATGTACCCATAATTTGGAAAGAAATTAACTTACCCGTTTGTATCTTATACATAATTTAATTACACGTGCAATATTTTACTGATGGTCACTCCTAAACCTCCTTGGCATCCAACAAGAATTTCAATAATGGGTCAATTTTAGCTTAAGTGTTTTTTTCTATAGATCTGCATCGGATCAAATCATATCGTTACAAATCAGAATATTTTCTGATTTGATGCTTGGACATTATTTTAGTCATTGTTTAATTTATTCTTTGATCGATCAATTTAGTTAAAATTAGATCAATTGAATAATAATAGACGTTATGTCAATCAATAACTATCTGCGTATTCTTAACCTTTGTTACTTCCTTCACATAATTCTTGAAAAATATTGACAGTAGACGGATGAATAGCAATTACATGACTACTATTTAAATTCGTTAAGAAGGAGATAAAAGTAGCTAGTACTTTGTGACACGCAAACACAAACACCCTGAAAATATAATATTCATGTGATATCGTTGAACTAGTAAAATCGTATTTGATCACGAGATCGAAGACTTGACAACTATGTAAGTCGACCTTTTTATTCATATGGACATCAATATAGACAAGTTGTACATAAACCTCCAGAAGTGAAACATAATAGCCTAGCGTGCATGAATACTTTAGTGGACTGCATATATAGATATGCTTTTATTGAGCAGACGAAGGGGTAAACTGAAGTTTGTATGAGGAGGCAGGCTAGCTATCATAGTACGTATAATAATAAGGGATACATATAAGTAATTAGCATCATTATATTGTACGTGATATGGAATGTGCGTGTGTTTTAAGGGCACTTGTAAGGGATGCCACGGTAGAGAGTAAAGGTCCAGTTCTTGCACTTGCCAAACTTGATCCCTACCGGACCGGTTGGAACGCACTTGGTCCTCAAGCAACACTTTGTGCACACCTCCTCGCACAACTTCATCCCAAAAGGCCGGACCACCTTGCACCTCTCTTGGCACTTCGCCTTGCAATCTGCATATATACAGCATATATGTATACGCATTACGCACCATTCATCAGGCAAACAATCCACCACCCCAAACAAATGAACGTCGATAAAAGAGTGCATGTGTTTGTGATGAAAAGAAAATGGTCGCCAAAGATCAGTAATAGATCGTTGCCATGATTAAAGTTTTAATTAGCAGTCATTTGGTTTGCTTCTCGCGGCGACCATTTTTGGTGGTCTCAAAAAGCTGAGAGAGATCGGTGTTCAATGGACGTACAGATTTCAAGAATATTGGATGACGTTGGGGCAGGGGAGGTCGACAACTTGGGAGGATGGGCGGGAGCAACAGCGGAGACCTGAAATCAGCAAAAAAAAAAAAAAAGTGAGACAATTAATTAAGTATTTCTATAGTTGAGAAAGAAAGGAAGTAAAGTAAAGAAGCATGGACAACAACAAGAACAGTGGATCGAAATGCCCAATAAGTAAGTTATTGGAACTGATGCATATATACATGGGAATATTGGAGGATGGCAAGGAAGAATAGGAAGCAGCAGGCAGCCTTGACGATGAGAGCCATATTATACTGGCAACTACTTTACTTTCTCTCTTTACTTTAATATGTTTGAGTGAGTGATGAATAATGACGAAGGGAGGATATGCTATTTATAGGGTTGTATAACAAAAGATGTTATATCTCACCTCTTTGCTAATTGTTACGATCATGTTTCACTCAATAGATAGCCATTAGTTGAGAAAGTACATATATAAAGTTTTATATTAATTTGACAGGATCAGACTAGAAAAATTTAAGTAGCTTAATTTTTAAATTACTTGACTGTTGGCTGCCAAATTTCTTCCACCGGGTTCATGCAACGGCAACATATTTTGGTGACTGGTTGATGGTAAGAAAATGCATGTATATGAGCAGTGGCGGACTCAGAAATTACATTAAGGGTATTCAATCAGGGGTGGAGTCAGGATTTCTACATCGGGTGGGCCGAAAATAATTAAATAAAAATAAAATAATTATTTTAAAAGTATACAACGTTCTTTGAAATCATTGAAAAATCACTCAAAATAGCATCTAAACTAAATGTTTTGCTACCTTTCTTTCAATATAGTCTAAAAATAATTGAAATCACTCAAAATAAAGCAACATGTAAGGTAGAGGTGAATTGAACATGGGTGCTCCAAGCTTAAAACTAGATTAGTTACCAGTAGACTACATGATAATTGTATAAACTAATGTTCTGGCGGAGTCCTACTTATTCAAATTTTATCTAAATATCCTTAAGGTCCTAGAGGCCCGGACTAATCCCGGGGGGCCGCGGCCCACCCTACCTTCCAAGTAGCTCCGCCGTTGTATTCAACGATAAAATAAAATCACCAAGGATTGTCAAATAGCCTTAAGTTCAAATACTATCATCTCTAAAATAAAATTTTACAAAGAAATTTTGTCAAAAAAATGGAACAAGGTTTGTCAATTGACAAACCTAAGACTAACCTAGGTCCGCCACTGTATATGAGACAATTGCCTAAAAGATACCACAAAATTTCAAAATCAATGCTAATAAAAATCAATATGATAATAAAACCACCCAATATATAAATACCAAAACCTCCGGTGAAAAGCAACAACAATGTGTAATACAAACTAATTAACTAAATACTAGAAATAACCTAACATATATCTTAAACTTGAGAATGCATGGTAATAAAAATTGATACTAGAAAATCATACAATATATTGACTAACAGATATAAGAAACTTGATACTCTATATCATTAACAAAACAATAATCTTGAAAAGTAACGAACCGATACCTTCTTTCTATGAAAATAAATATATAGTGTTTTAATATTATAAAAGAAATGTAAAATAAATACAGTTTCTCCTCTAGTACAAAGCTAATCCAAATTTTATACAAAGTTGACTATTGGTATGGAAAAGAAGTCTAGTTGCCAAGGGTCAAATATTCTTTTGCCAAATTTATGGACATGGACGATAAAGAACATATAAATTAAGGACATGGACCTCCCGCCACCTATGAATTTAGGGCGAGTACAAATGCATAAATTTTGTTTATGCAATTTTGTATTATACCTGATCTTGAAAAGGTTCATGGAATCTAAGGTCAAGGTTTCTCTATATTATGCTATATATCTATACATGAATTTTTACAAAAATCATTCAAGATTCACTTTAATTTGAATGATTCAGAGTTTAGGAATTTAGGGTTAGGGTTAGGGTTTACAATTTGGGATTTTGGGTTTAGATTCAAAATTGAATGTTAATAGGTTAGGGTAATGGGTTGATTAGTTGTGATTCTGTGTTATATCATCATATGAGACTGATGCTACCCATTAAATTTCAAAATTTGATGTATTATAACCATTTTTAGAGGTGGGTGCACTGAATGCACCCAAAAAAGTGAGTGCACCGAAGTAGCCACCATATATATATATATATATGGAAGCTCACGTTATTTGATCTGGTAACAAAATTCTAGAAAAGTGAGGAATACAATTGTCAGAAAATATAATTATAGTATCCATTCTTAAAATTTAAAACATTATTTGAATTTTAAAACATTACGAAGAATTGATTATCATCCATTAATTAATGACCTTCATTAAGCGATATAATCAGACGCTAAGCACGTACTTTTTTTTTTTTTTTTTTATTCCAAGCACGTACTTATTTAGTTAGGTTATTGGCCAACTCTGCATGCATGGCATGATTTATCTTATTAGGTTACTGGCCGACTTCAGCCCACCACAAGTACAAGCCCAACAATTTGACTGCACAAGTTTCATGTTAACGCCATTGTCCTTTGTTTTATTTTGGACAAGAGATTATCATCGTTATCATCGTGGATTTTGCGGCCTAATAATTTATTATTTCGTACGTTATTCATAGAGAGAAACAATTTAATTATCGTTGTTCATGATGAATGCATCGATATTGACAAACTATAGAGAATAGTATGTGAGTTATAGACAGCCGCGTTTAAAACCGTACTTGATCGAGATCATACTGAAATAATTAGTAATAGTACATTGTGTATTCAATGATAATTTAATTGTGTTTCAACCTCTTTTTTATTACTAAAACAGATTTCTATTTTGGATTCGGTATCCGGTATTTCTGATCCGACCGACCGGTATGGTAAGGCTAAGCAAACATTGCTTCTTTCCTTTCATACTACTTCATGTACGGCCATTCCACCTGTTTGTTTTATATAATGCACTCTTCCACTTATGCTTTAGCAAAATGGGAGTCACCTTTAAAAAATGTCGGTGTGTAAGTATATGGTATAAAATTGTATTATTAAACCTCTTCTTACAAGTCAAATTATTGAGATTAGTTGATTCTTGATATGATACCATATATAATAGGTCTTTAGATCGAATGATCTACGATCCCATTTTTGAATTGTACAAACTTCAACCCTCTATGAGTGAATTTCCTTTGTGTAATATGTATGGCTTTCCATTGGGTTTGTACCCACTTTAATTACCTTTTCAGTAATGAAACTTATTTGTCTAAAGTATCGATGAGCAGTGAAGTCTTAGCCACCATTTAGTTGAGGGTGAGGATTGAGGTTCATAATAGCCTATTAGAATTAAACTCACAATTCAGGTGGAGGATTGATAATATCTACCATATTATCACTTTTCAATGTCTACTCACCATGTGATCCAGAGTTATAACCAAACATCAAATGTCAAGGGGTTACATCTCACCTTAACCATACCTTATGTCATAACCGGGGAGCTCAATTAGTACGATATTGTTCGCTTTGGGCCAAGCCCGCACGGATTTACTCTTGGGTGTCCTCCCCAAAAGGCCTCGTACTAATTGGGCTAGGTGGACACTTATATACAAGGATTCATTCCCTTGTATTTCCGATGTGGTACTTGGATTGTATCATAACAATCCTCCCCTCAAGACAAGGACCACGAACTTCGTGTCCTCTCCTCAGCGATTATCTTGATCCGCCAGACGCCTCGTATCGATGGGCTTCTTGGTACAAGGACTTCACCAGACGCAGAACTCTCTTTGATCTGCTTCCCAAATGCGGAACTCTCTTTGATCCGCCAAAGCCCAAACGTGGATCTCTCGTGGATCCACCAAACAGACGCGAATCACAAATCCCGAGGCCACCGAATGAGGGTCCACCAAACTGACGTCCACCGCCCCGAACCAGGCTCTGATACCACTTGTCATAACCGGGTTGCTCATTAGTACGATATTGTCCGCTTTGGGCCAAGCCCGCACGGTTTTACTCTTGGGTGTCCTCCCCAAAAGGCCTCGTACTAATGAGCTTGGTGGACACTAATATACAAGGGTTCCTTCCCTTGTATTACCGATGTGGTACTTGGATTGTCCCATAACAATCCTCCCCTCAAGCCAAGGACCACGAACTTCATGTCCTCACCTCAGCAATTATCTTGATCCGTCAGATGCCTTGTATCGATGGGCTTCTCGGTACAAGGACTTTTACCAGACGCGGAACTCTCTTTGATCCGCCAAACAGACGTGGATCTCCCTCGATCCGCCAGATGAGCCCAAACGTGGATCTCTCGTGGATCCACCAAACCAGACGTAGATCGCAAATCCCGAGGTCACCGAAAGAGGGTCCACCAAACTGACGTCCACCGCCCCAACCGACCAGGCTCTGATACCTTTCAAAATCACCTTAGAACCCTTGTAGACAGACAACACTCCACCTTCACCTTTGAAACTGAAACCCTTGCCGTCTAGTAGACTCAAAGATATCAGATTCTTAGTCATCTCTGGAATATGTCTAACATTGTTCAAGGTGCGAACAGAACCATCATGTGTCCTCATCCTGACGGAGCCTCTTCCAACAATCTTACAGATAGCACCATTGGCCATAGAAACATGTCCTCCATCTATCTGCTCATAAGTTGAAAAACACTCCCTGCTTGGACACACATGATAATCAACTGCAGTATCCAAATACCACACATCCTGATGATGTACCTGTTCATTCACTGCTAAAGCTAAACCATCTTCAGAATCAGAGTTAGTTTCTTCCGCCACAACAGCAGATGATTCCTTCTTCTCCTGATATTTCTTCAGTTTAGGACAATCAAATTTCCAATGTCCTTTCTCCTTGCAGTAATGACAGATATCATCCTTCAAACCAGCAGAATTCGAATTTGTATTCGCCTTCCTATTACCAGATTGTTGTCTCCTACTACTCGTAGCAGCCAACCCAGATGCCTGATTTTCCGAACCTGAACCAGACGCCTTATATCGAACCTCCCTAGTATGTAGAGCAGATCTGACATCTTCCAAAGACAAACTATCTTTCCCAGCAATAAAAGAATCCACAAAATTCTCATATGATTGTGGCAAAGATACTAACAGAATTAAGGCAGCATCTTCATCATCTATTTTAACATCAATATTCCGCAGATCTAACAAGATGGTATTGAGTTGATCTAGATGATTCCTGAGAGGCGTACCTTCCTCCATACGCAAACTGAATAAACGTTGCTTCATATGCAACTTGTTGGTTAAGGACTTTGTCATGTATAGACTTTCAAGCTTCAACCACAAGCCCACATCAGTCTTCTCAGCAGCAACCTCAGTGATGATGTCATCAGCCAAACAAAGCAAGATTGTAGAGTGAGCTTTCTCCTCCAAAGTAATCCACTTTTTTTCATCTATGCTTTCCTTCTTCGATTTTCCAGACAACGGAGCCCACAAACCCTGTTGTTTCAACAGTGCTTGCATCTTGATCTGCCACAAACTGAAACTGTTTCTTCCGGTTAACTTCTCAATCTTCATACTGATAGCAGCCATTCTTACTATCAAACAAATTCCAACCAAACTCCACAAAGCAAAACTTATTCCAGCGCCAAATTCCAACCAGGTTCTGCGCTACCTGCAAACTCCACCTGATTAAATCAATCTTGGCTCAAAGGAAAAAAAAGAATTGTGCGTCCTTGATAATTCCCAAATACAATTTCCTTTTCTTGGCTTGCTTCTGTGCGCAGTACCACAAACAATAATTGCAACCAATTTTCCAAACACCCACTCCACGGTCAAAGTAAAAAACAAATAACAATGGACGGAACTGCTGCAGGAGAGCCGGAACGAAGCAAATCAAGCTGTCGGCGACTGCTTTTTTCTCGAGGATAGTGACTAGTCGGATAGCAGCGGCCAAACTTAGGTAACCAGTTCGTGGAGCGAGAGCGGGACCGGGAGCGAGAGCGTGAAATCGTCTGTCTTACAAGAACTTGATTTCGAGAGCGTGAAAAGAGCGTTATTATTTTTATTATATTTTTGTTGAAATTTCAATATAGTAAATATCAAACTACATAAAAATATATTTAGCATACATTTTGTCAAAATAAAAATGGAAAGTGCGCCAATTAGCCAATTGATTCACAAATTAATTCATTGTTATAATAAGATTTAATTAAAATGAGAATGGAAAGTGCTTTATCTTTTATTTACCTTATCTATTGCCCACCCACCACCATCCTCAATAGAGTTCTTACTAATCTGAAACTTCCCTCTGTAGCTGCTCAACGCAGAGGAAGAATTAGAAACCCAGTTGAAGCTTTTTCCCTATTTTTCTCTTTCTTGATTCCATTTCAGATACTCAACTCTCACATGCAATCCGACAGGTGAGTTATTTCCGCTAGATCTCACAATAGATAAGTAATCAACGACGGATGCGGCTCGGATTGGAGACGATAGAACTACTTTGATAGGGAAAAGAAGCAACGACGGTGGCTGCAAACTGTCGATTAACGCCATTGAGGAGACAGGGCCCCTCTTAGTTCTCTTGATTCTTTAATTCTAATATGATTTCAGATTTCGAATTTGATTCTTCCGGTTTGATCTGAACTATAGACGATCGACCCATGAATAACTACTGCGATTCTTCACTTAATTTTAGTTTTGCATGCTCTTTTCTTTTGCTCTGTTTTTAGTTTTTCTCTGGAGCATTGTTGACCGTGACCACCAACTCCTCTCTGTTGCTGCCGTCTTCTTTTCTCCTGCACTTACTCTTCTCAAAATGGTTCTAAGAATTGCACTCTCAGCAACCAATTGGTACGATATTGTCCGCTTTGGGCCAAGCCCGCACGGATTTACTCTTGGGTGTCCTCCCCAAAAGGCCTCGTACTAATTGGGCTAGGTGGACACTTATATATAAGGATTCATTCCCTTGTATTTCCGATGTGGTACTTGGATTGTATCATAACACCTTACCTTAAGTTCAATCCCTCCTAATTCCAAGTCTTCTGATGAGAAGCGTTTAATTAGTAAATACAGTAAAGGTTACTCTGATGGCAAGATTATGTTTAATAGATGAAGTGACAACATACAACATGAGGATGAACAGCATACGTCCTTGACCGGACATAAAATATACAAGCAAAAGAGTAGCTTGATCAGCGATATAGGGTTACAACCGTACAAGTGTAAATCCAGCGATATAGGGTATTTTACTATCCAACCCAATTGGGTTGGGTATGAAATCCAAATATATGGATATGAGTAAAGTTTGATGGGTTTGTACCCATACCCATTTACTTTGGGTTGGGTTGGGTTTATAACAAATGGATTTGGGTTTGTACAATGCCCAAATACAAATTACAGTTTGGTACCTAAACTTAATAGATATGCATATTTAGTACCTAAATTTAATTTTTTTTGCATATAAGTCCTCAAAATATCGATGGAAAATTACGTTTTGGTACCTAAATTTTTTTGGTCTTACATTTTGGTACCTAAACTTTTCAAGTTTGACAAATAGGTCCAATTTTTGCATGTGTAGTTAAAACACCCTTAAGTAAATGGATATCCATATCCAACCCATACCCATTTAGATAATATCCATATCTAACCCAAACCCATATACAAACCCCAAACCCATACACACATTACCCAAACCCTACCCATAATAAATGGGTCTACTTGGGTTTGGGCAAAATTACCCATGGATGGGTAAATTGCCATCCCTAGCCATCGCCCACTCGATTACGGTTGCTACCATTCCCGCCCCGCCCGGTGTAATGTCCTGCCAAAATGTTAGTCAATAATTTGAGTTATTGATTTTTTACATGTCAAAAGTTATTGAGTTATTAATTTGAGTAAATTGTTTCAATTCCGTTAATCCGTTTTAGCAACCACACTCTGATACCTCTGTAATTTAACTTCAACTTTATATGAATAACTTTCATTTGAGAAAGTGAATTAGTTTATAATATCATATTCATCATTACATTTCTCTCAACAACTCGAGTTATCACGTTATACTATCAGAACTGAATCGACATGCAAATGCAATAATACCAGAAGGAGTGCTTTGAATTGGGTGATGGACGCCAAAGGCGATCCCGCGCCAGACCTCTCCCTACTCTCCAGCAAAATCTGCAGCAAATCCTTCATCTCTCGGCCGTCAACCATAGTTAACGACCCTTTACCATCGAAACGTTTCTGAATCACGGAGGTAATGATGCGGTCAAAACGTCCAGCCACCTCCGCCGCTTTCCTCCCAATCCCTTGAAGATCGAACCTCGCAAGAAGTGGGAACACGTCGGAGACGTTCGGCTTCTCCATCAGCGCCATCACCTCTTCACACAATCGTCGAGCCTCCTCGTTGTCAACGTCACCATCATCCCTTCCTCCCCACGACATGGCCATAGTCGCATTCGCAACCATCTTATTCGCCAACTCCAACACGCCAACCGGCTTGCCGCAGCTCCTAACTAATTCCCTGAGTGCCTTCACCACCACGCTCCGTTTCAGTTCATAACACCGGTCCAAGCTAGGGTTGCTTAGCACTTCCCTGAGCACCACTTTCCGCATCGAGTTCCAGTCTTGGCTCATTGGCAGGCTAGAGAGGTCCAGCCCACCGTAGGTCCAAACTCGAATCGCTAGCGGGAGGTCGCGGCTCGAGAAGTTCGATTCGTCGTCCCGAAGGACTTGTTTGGCCAGGGACGGCGAGCTGACCACGACGTGGAGCTGGCTGCCGACCCGGATCTTGAAGATGGGCCCGTATTGGGCCGCGAGGTCGGTGAACTGCCGGTGAAGTGGAATGTTCTTCCCGTTGTAGATGAGAAATGGGATGTAGCCAACAATCGGCAAGCCGCGAGGCCCCGGAGGCAGAGAAAAAGAAGCCGTTGCTCCTCCTCGTGATTTCAATCCTTTGACCATTCTCGATACAAAGTGCCAAATTCCGACTAGTATTACTCCGATGGTTGCTGAAGTGATCAGCCATCGGCCGGAAAATTGGTCGTTTCTGTTGACCGGGGAACTGATGAGGAAAGCATCAGCCATGGCAGTTTGTTTACTGAATTTTCAGTTGTTTTTTTTAGGACAGTGCTCATATGTTAATACATAATAGATCACATTATATATATGCATGTCTATATAAGCGCATACATCTTGGGTTGGGTTGGGATAGGATCATAGGATAGCAAAATAAACCATTGGGTATTCAACCTCATTGAAATTGATTTTGTTGGAAAAAATCCAACTCACATTATCTTTTTGTGGATTTCTCCAAACCCGACAAATAGGGTAATAAGTTTGATACGATTTTTATTTTTTAAGTATCTATACCGAACCATCCAAATATGTGCTATAACTATATTCTAAACTCATTCACTTTAACATTTCGTTCATTCATATCTCTAGAAAATTATAATTGTCTCTTAGAACTCAAATCTTGTCAATTTTCTCTCCATATTACGAACAATGTGACAAAAAACTTCAATTTACATTGACATTCGGAAAAAAAAATTTAGATTATATCACAAATGTTGTAGATAATGTTCGGGGATGGTGAGGGTGAAATTCAACGGAAAACAAATGATGCGGGTGGATTTTCTGTGAACTACATGCTGGTTGTTGGTGAAATTTATACATAATTGGTTATGAATTTTTTATATCACATATTACATCACCACACAGTTTTGTTAACGAAGATGATTATAATATTAAAATCGCGGTCACCCCATCCAAACCCGTTGCCATCCTAGGTGGTGAAATGTTGGTATATGTTTGGCCATAAGCACTTAACTCATTCGCCAGGCGAGGATAGGACAACTTGTATTTAATTAGTTAGGTCACCGACCAACTTTTAGGTGCTGCTTCGTTTCTGGAGTTTATTATAATTATCTTTTAGACCTCAAATTTTGTTTATTTTCTTCCCGTTTACAAACAATCTGACAAAGAAACTTCAATTTACAATGACATTCGAATAAATTTTTTAGATTACATATTTTATACATAATTGTTCGAAGATGTTGCGGGGGAATTCAACAAAAAAAATATGGTGTGGGCTGGTTTTCTTCAACCACATACTGGCTGGTTTTGGATTTTTTATATCACATATTACAACACCTCACAGTTTTGTTTTACGAAGATGATTATAATTTTGAAACCATGGTTCAAATATTGTATGTAAGGAACCGCGCCCACCCAAACCTAGGAAAAAATCCCAGAACACACGTTTTTAAAAAAAAAATTTAAAATACACATGTTTTATGAAAAATTTCCAATATACACATGTTTGGGCATATCACCGCAGTTGACAAAAGCAGTGAAATGCATCACTGTGGGAGAGGACAGAAGTGAATGCATGACTGCGGGAGAGGACAACAGTGAATGCATCACCGCGGCCGACTGATAGGACAACAGTAAATGCATCACCGTGGCTGTCGGCCGCTGTGAAGGCCTGACCTGCGCCGAAACTTCAAACAGACGTGACTTTGTGCTCCGTTATTGGATCGTAACGAATTTTTTTTTATTTCGCATAATTTTTTGAGATCTTGCAATCCATTAACATTCAAAGGCGTCTTGGTCCCGCTTTCGTCCCGAAAAAACGTCGTTTGCTACCTCCGAACGAGCAATTTTTCGATTCTTCCAAACTTTGAAAGGCCATAACTTTGTGCTCCGCAATCCAAACGTCATGATTTTTTTTTCTTATTATTTCGCATAAATTTTTGAGGACTACAACCGCGTCGGAACAATCATCTTCTTCATGGATGGATTAGCCGTTGGAATTGAAATTCGATTTTCAATTGGGATTTCCTGAAACTCGATATATAGAAATTACAATTAAGAGAGAAAGTGGGAGAATTAAGACAGAGCTTGCGAAACTAAAGCAGCCTTTTATTCAGACGATACTGATCATATACTATAACAAACTTTTATCTAAGTAGACAATACAGCCACGTTACATAAACCAAAGTGAAACATGAAGGATCGGACTACCATTCAATTAATTAATACACTCAGCTGGAGCTGGCTGCATACATAAGCTTTTTTATTAGAACACCAAGATCCATCGAAGCCGATCGATCGAGACTTACAACGTACTTAACAGTGAACACGTGAAGTGGCCATTGTATTATTGAACACACACAAGCGCCCGGCCAGTAAGTAGAAATAAGATATTAATTAATTGCGGGTGGTAATGCGGCATCTGGTACCGGAGCTTCAGGGGCGTCCTCTGCTGCTGTGATGATTATCGGAGGTTCAGCCGGTGCAAAAGTGGCCGGAGGAGATGCTGCAGGCGCAACCGATGAAATCTGCAACCAAAATCCAGTACATGAAGAAGGATGCATGCGTGCATGCATGAAAGCTAATAATAACAACTACAAACGGGAAGTACGGATTCATGCATACAATGCTAACATAGTCTTCGGGTGCCACTGCGGCTAATTCTGCCTCCGGAGCAGGGCCGGCGTACTCTGGTGTGATGATGATTGGAGAAGGGGCCGGAGCCATAGTCGCCCGAAATTTTGCACGAGCAACCACTACTGAAACCTGCAACCAAAACGGATTACGTTTAGTTGATGATCAGAGAGAAAGGAATACCACAATTATATCTATGAAAATAATTGCTTCGATGGAAGCTGATTCGTACGTAGGAGGAATCGAGGATGGCAAAGAAGAACAGGAAGCAGGCAGCAGCCTTGATGAGAGCCATATTACTAGCTTTGTTACCACTTATCTCTTCTACTACTTGTTGCAGTGAGTGATGAATAATGGCAAAGGGAGGATCCTATAAATAGGAGCTGTGGGAGGATTAATACATGGCAGTCTATGAAGTGTTTTTTCCTTTACACTAAAAATTAAAGTCGAGCCAAACATCTTTATAAATGGAAGTTTCGGAAAGCGATAAATATTTTTATAACATAAAAGCATAATATCCAAATTGAATATTTTGTGAAACGTCATTTTGTAAATATCACGTCATCCTTATGGATGGTTTTCCGTTTTTAAAAAATATTTTTTTCATTTATCCGGTTTGATAATTAAATATTGGGAAATTATTATTTAAGATATAATAAACTCAAAAAGGTCTATTTTAATTATTTTATATGTGAGATATTTTAGTGATTTAGTAATTTTATATCACTTTCTACATTAAAAATTACTTCTTACAATTTATCAACCAGATACTCAACAACTATTTTAAAAACACTTCTCGAAAAGATCGAATTAGATCGAATTAGAAACTATTTCTGAAAAAGTTACTCCAAGTATTTTTCATTGTTTTATATGTTTGGCCATTAGCACTTAATTCATTCGGCCGGAGAGGATATCCTGTTTTTAATTAGTTAGGTTACTGGCCGACTTTTAGCTCCTGCTTCGTTTTTGGAGTTCATTTATGTAGATACTGGCAATGTCATTAATAATTAATTAGGCTAATGAGGGCTTTACCTGCCATCACCTTACCACAACGACAAGCTAATGGGGCAGGCAGGACCTTCATCTGGGTATGATGCGCGGGCGCCTCTTCGATGGAATCGAGTCCTCCCTACCTTCTCAGAGAACTTTTTACTTGGATGACAATTGCTAGGGATGATTTAATGAAGACTTACCATCAGTTACGTTTTTACCACACAGCAAATGACTATCACTCTTTAACGCCATTGCTAATGCTAGCTGGCTAGCTGCTTCGTCCATGACAAATGACTAGTGCGGCAAATAAGCCAAGCTGTTCACAAGCTGCTCCACGTTCGGTTTGAGAAAACCCGTTTCACACTCGTCTTGTTTACTAACGAGTCGAATTTGAGCTAAACCTTGTTCGGCTCGCAAGGCTCGTGAGCCAGCTCGCCTCGGTAACTTGTTGAGCTAACTAATGAGTTGGCTCGTTTTGAACTATGAGCTGCATCGACGGTATGGCTACGAAGCCACCTCAAATAGCAATTAATGAACAAATTGATTAATAGATTATATTTTGCTTGTTGATAATTCACAGGTTTGTTATATCGTATATTTCACCACCTATGATGTTTAAAAATTTGAGCACGTGATCAAATATATCTCAACAATAAATTAAAATAGAAATGATGTATGGTAAATGGGTCTGATACTAATTACTATCAAATAACATTATATAAATAATTGAACTACATGATATGATGCTAAACTAGAGCCGATATCGCAAGCTAATTGATAAACCGATCTCAAATCAAGTTGGAATCAAACACAAATCAAAATTTTGGTATACAAATTGAGCTCAACCTCAAAACTTAGACTCGACCATTTGCATTCCTACTAAAACGACTCTCACTCTTACAACCCAATACTATGTTTTCCAAGCAGGCCCAACTCTGCGCTAAAACATAGGCCCAGCGCAGCCTCTTTCTCCACACAGCCGAGGCGGTGATAAAATCCAGGCCCATCTTGATTTTCCTCCATGGAGCCGGCGCTATGTTTCAAACACTGAAAATTACTATTTCCAATCCAATTGTGATTACGTATCAGTATTTAGTAGGGATGTGAAAAGATTGGACCAAATTCATGAGTACCTCTATCGCAGTTCAATAGTGAAGTGAAAGACATATTAGAATTAACGATTGCTCATTTTTTAATTGGCTTCAATTTGATATAGTTCAAATGTTAAGCCGATTCATTTTTTTAATATTTATAAAATTCAAAAAATCAATAATCAAATTACATTTATTCGGTTTGGTATGAATATGATCGATTCAACCATCTGCACACTCCTATCTATGGCGACTGATATGGTTAGTCATTACTGCTATTGCCAACTCGCAATTATACTACATATAGTTCCCAGCTTACACATTTATCACCCATTGCTCATCTTCTCTTCTTTTCATATATACTTCTCCATATATACTTCTCCATGTGGCCACTTTACCTCGTCTGTTTCTATGTCTAGTACTGTCTTTCCTCTCATGCTTTAGCAAAAATATCAGTGTTCACAGGTTAGTTTACATTATCTTCACTTTCTGTTCATAAATCACCACAACTAATTACTAAAAGGAGGAGTAATCTTTGCTTCCTCGACAATTCAACACAAAATTTGCATAAAACTTTGAAGTCTAGCGAAATCATGATTGGTCTGATTTCCAATATGATATTCAAATAGGTCGTAAATTATGGAATGAATATTTGTCATAATGCGGATTCGCATTAATCAGTCTCATTATCTCATCCAAATCCTGAATACATTTGATAATAGAAAGATAAATAAGTAGGAGCGAGGAAGGAAGAGAGATAATAAAAAAAATCGCGAGACCAAGAGATTGGAACCCAACACAGAACAATACTGGTCATACATTGAGGTAGAAGACATTAATGTTATATGGTGATGGAGCCAGAGAGTTGACAACTATGAAATTCTTTATTCTCAAGGCAACAAAGCCAAATTACATCAAACAGAATATGAAATGAAACGAAGACGGCGACATGACCTAACAATATAATTGATGCTAAAAAAACATTTAGCGGACTACTGCATATATATTGCTTTTTATTGGAATCCGAATATCAAAGTGGATCGAGACCTGAAAATGAAATACTTATAAGAAGCTATAACTTTGAACACATGAAATGGTAAACTAAAGGCAGTATGGGAATTAAGGTAGTTTAATATTAAGGAACACACGCATGTATTGAGCTATAAGCTGCTGTGATGTGACATAGTAGTAGCTTAATTAAGGGCACTTGTAAGGAACGCCATGGTAGAGAGTGGCGGTCCAGTTCTTGCACTGCTCGGCGTTGGAGCCGATGGGACCGGTTGGAACGCACTTGCAGCTCATGCAGCACCTGGTGCATATCTTCTGGCAGAACCTCTTGGCAGACGGGTGGGTCTTGCACCTGTCTTGGCACTTCGCCACACAATCTGCACCCGCCCACAACAGTACCATTTGTTAAATATTACGTAACCCACAGGAGCCCTTTTGCGACCAAAAAAGGGGCATTGGTAGTAAGAGGTGTAAGACTGACGTACAGTTTCCAGATACGGGTGCCATTGGAGCATGCGCTACCGGAGTCGGGGTGACCGGAGCATGGGTCGGAGCGACAGTCGCCGGAGCTGTTGTGGGAGCAACAGCTGAAACCTGCAAACATCAAAAAGGAGTACATGTAGTTTTTGAGAAGAAAGGAAGACATGCATGTATATGGAAACCATTAATGGCACTTGGGATTCATGCATGCAACAAGAACAAGAAGAATAGTGAAAGGCCAATCATAAATAGAAATGTGGAACTAACTCGTACATAGGAGTCGAGGAGTGCGAAGAAGAAGAGGAAGCAGGCAGCCTTGATGAGACCCATATATATCTACTGATAATATTACTTTCCTTCACTAGCTAGCTGCTACTGCTCTCTTTACTTTGTTGAGTTGAGTGATGAATGATGGAGAAAGGGAAAGGAATGTATTTATAGGGGTTTTGGGAGATTGATCCAGAGTAGTCTAGGCGCAGAATCTCGAGCAAAAGAAACCCTAAATCACAGCAAGATTGCAAGTTGGCATTAATGTTGATTATTTTAAATACTTAGAGAACTGTGAGGGTTGCAGTTTTGTGGCCGGAATTGGTGATCCGAGGTCTAGTCTTAATTGTGGTTATACTTATACTAATCTGCCTTGCTTTGCTCGATGCACAATTTTTTACGTAACCTTCTGTCAACCTACTTGCTTAGCTTCTGCCTAGGGGGAGATAGATAGGCCCTTACATATAATATAACGATTTTCCTTATGAGTAATCTGCTTTTACATTTGCAATTTGCATTCGAGAAGAATAGTATTTGAATGAAGCAGGCAAATAAATTCAATACTACCAATCTAATCTTTAATAATATGGATACAAAAGTTTTGAAATCACAAATTCGATTATCATTACTTACTGTTATTAGTACCAGTGACAAAGTGTTCCAAGTGCTCGATCGGGTAAGTTTCTATAATTGTTCGAAGAAAACTATAATAGATTGATATATAGGTCATTTTTTTTATCTCTCCCAATAACTTTAGTTATTAAAATCAATTGGTTAATTATAAAGGAATACTAGAGCCTCATATTCTAAGAACCTTCAGTATTAACCGTTGATTTTTAAGTTCATGATATATGGTGTAAGCTGAATTTTGTTTGAGGGATTCCTCAAAATGTAAAATTTATCAGTAGCCGAGTCACGTACGTAACTCATGTCCCGTCTTTTTTTTCCGTCAATTTCTTAACCTGCATATATTACTCTTGCTTATGAGTTCACTAATATGTACAAAATACAATTTCGAAACTTTCTCAAATTACTCGAATTATTGACATCAATTAATATATACCGGACAATCACAAGTGAAAAGACCAGCATCTGTTGTAGTGACGATGAGGTTCCAGGAAGCTAACCTGCAAAACCCTAATAAGCAATGAACTCATTATCTGGGGAAGGTACAGCCAAGCCAATTAATATATTCTTAGCTACGGGAACGAGGATATAGCGTGCGTGGCAGTCAATACGCCACTTTTGGCTGCTTTGTTTGTGGAGTGTTCATATGCAATGCTAGCCAGCGCGCGGTGGTTTGACTTCTTAATTATCATCAGTAGTTCACACCAATATCTATATATTCACCTCACCCATTGCATAGTTTAGTTTCCATGTCAACGCCACCCACTACTGCTTCCTCCAATTAATAGATCGCACGTGAAAATCCTCGAGCACCAGCACTCTAGTCTTCGCGGTCAACTAGCTATAGATTCCTTCCTTTTTGTTGACTGCAGGCTATCTAAATACTATAAGTGATCTTGACGAGTAATTAATGGATGGATGCCTCAGCAAATGACTGCCACCCTAGGTATATATATTTACTATACTCTCGATCATTAGTTTACCTTCTTCTCCTTTTCATATTGCAACAATAGGGCAAGTGCAACCCTTCCTAGCTTAGTTATCGATGTGATCTGGACGGCATGTGTTGAATGTTGGAGCTGTGAGACTGAGATGGTGGGGGAACATCTAATTAAGTAACCAGCTGGCCGCTTCTTCCATGGACCATGGCCTCTCATCAAAGTTGGAGACACATGCAGTGACACACATCTCCAAAATGGCTAATTCAAAGCCATTTGAGCTCTTGGGATTTTCAACAAAAACCCCATGGAAGGATTCAAAACCATATAAAATGACCAAAGGCCCATACACGACAATTGTGCTTACGGCCCAAGCCCAAACTCGTATTCAACAAAGCCCATACTTGATTCCAAGGGCGTAATTTGGAGTTCATATACAAAATAACTCGTTCTATATTCGACTCGTTTTCAAATGAGGCGATTGTTGAACTAGCTTGTTAGTAAAAGAATTAAGTTTAAGTTTTGTCCTCCTCAACTAGCTAGTCGTAGTTTTGAATTGATTCGATTAGGTGAGCTCAAATCTCGAGTTGGTTAGATAATATATGTGGATGGTTGAAATTTGTTTTTCTGTTTAATTTTTTAGTGTTTTCTCTTTTGTACAAAGATTATAATAGTTTTCAACGAACAAAACATTTCAAGCTGAGCTCATTCAAATAAATGGAAGCTTGTGGTCAACTTAATAAGCTCTATTCATGAGTATTATTTATTGTGTCTAGCATAATTAAGGCCGAGTTGAACCATTTTCATTTGATTCATCAGGACCAAACCGACCTTCCATAACTTGATTCAACCTCGTTGTTGACAATTAATAATGCACTAATTAAGCTCAAATCATGAGAAAATCTCTATTCGACTTTACTCGAGTGATTCCAATGAGAAGCAATATCAAAGTATAAAAAATCAGAGAAAACGATATCAAAGTTGTATCATTTTTGTTACTGTCTAGTCTACAAACTAATCGATACAATGGACTTATAATTTATTTCTCAAATACTGGGATAGGGGGGATGTAAGTGAACACAACCCTCAACTGCAACGACGACAAAGTAGCGAGCCTGAGATGCCTGGTGGCCCTAAAGCTGCCGTCCACCGCACAAGGCACCGCCACCCGCTCTTTCCTCCCCGTCTTCCCATTGTAAAACTCCACGTGGTCAAACCCGCCGTCGTAGTACGCCACCATCGTTGACCCTCCGTCCGGGTCGCTCGTCCGCACGTACCACCAGTCGCACGTGTCGAACTTCCCTCCCTTCGCCGCCTCCCACCCCACCTTAAACTCCGGCGCCGGCCCCACATCGTCACCGCCGTCAATCACCACAAAATCATCCACCGCCTTCCCATCCAACGACGGAACCCGCAGCTTCCCGCTATCCCCGCCCCGTACAAAAGTCGCCGGCGGCAGCGGCCGGCGCCTCCTCTCAATGGCCCCGACGTCGGCGACGGCGAGCTGGGACGGCGGAGCCGCGCCCCAGTAGTGCTTGCGGTAGTAATCCAGCTCGCCCCTCGTGACCACGAGCTGGACCTCCGCATCGTCCACGTGGCGGGTCAACGTTTCCAGCTCGGCGTCCTTGTCAGCGATCCGACCGGCGTAGTCGACCGCCACGTTGCCGTAGACGATGTCGCGTGGGTTCCACACGGTGGTTGTGGTAACGTTTTCCCCTCCCACGTGGCGGGACCAGAGGAATAGATCCTGGAGGCGGAAGTAGTGGAACCCGAGGATCGGATTGACGTAGCTGGTGACGTCGAGGAAGCAGAGGCCTTCGACGTTGACCAAGAGGTGGGACTGGGTGAGATCCTCGGCGAGGTTTCTGAGCGGCCGGCCTTTGATCATTTTGTCGAACACCTTGAGGGAATCGTAGGTTCTGGCCAGGGGTCCGGCGGAGGCCACGAGGTTCCAGTCGTCGGATGTGACGGTGGATGTGTCGGTACTAATGGCGGCGCTTTCGTCGTCGGCGGTGGTTAGGGAGTAGATGTCGATGGTGGCGTTGTCGGACGAGGAGATGAAGAGGTTTCGGGACTTCAATTCGAAGGGAGCCATCCTCATTTTGATCGATTTGATTGTGGAGAAAGATTGATGAGATGTTTGTGTTGATTTTGTGCGTTCAATTCAATGCATATATACATGTCAGAATTACGCGGATAAGTTGCGGGAGGTAAAATAAAAACAAAGGGCTTAAATGTGTGAGATCGAAACTATAAGGACTAACTAGAATGCAATTTCAAACCGGAAAATTTTTCTGCTTGTTCAAACTGTCCTTGACTGTATAAAAAATGGTCAAAGTTTTGAACTTCATCAGCAATATTCTTTGATGTTCTAGAACAAAATTCCCATGTTGAATTTTGCTTATCTACATAAACAAGCCATAGAAATAACACTTTTCGTGTCAAAGCAAGGAACTGTCCATAACTAGATTAGCATCATTAATTGCTAGAGAACAACCATATGACAATCTAAGTAGGTCACATGATATCATAGTTTCAGAAAGCATTGATAGTAAGATAAATGTTGAGAAATGTTGAGATCTTGTCCAGTGTCTAGTTTGTCTAAACGTTGTATAAGCGTGCTTAGATGTTGCATAAATGTGCTTAGGTGATAGAAGCAAAATAAGCAAATAGCAGTTAGTATTATACGATGAATGAAATAGTTGTTTTTACAACACTTGTATCTGTATATTACTTTCAATGGTTAATAACATAAGAAACACTTTATAATAAGAAAAATAGCTCACAAATTTATAGCATGATAGCTCAATAGCTGGCAAGGTTCTTAAGATGGGAAAAAATAGCATTTGTAGATACAGTCAATTTTCTCATTTTGATATTTGACTACTTAGCTCAGACTAATTATATTTAGGTGTCGTTGTACTTAGCCACCACGTTTTGGATTCTGAACTCCCTACGAAACCCCTAGACGAGACGTTTTGGTGCATGTTTTCTAAAGTCTAGGCAATTCCTAAACGTAAATTTATAAACACGCCTTTTTTAACCATGCATGACACCATGCAAACCAAAAGACATTAAGCGTGACAAGGCAACCGTCACAAAACAAGAAATACGTCAAATATATAAATCGAAGACGCTTCCACGATGAACGCCAGTAAATTGCAAGCTAAATCTGAATGTGTCTATAAGTCGATTTGAACTGTATTAGCTCAGAAGTGAGGAGAGGAGTTAAATCCAAATCCTAAAGACCTTAATCATATTTGATGACGAAAATTTGTCCTTAAACTTTGACGTGTTTATAATTATCATATTTACTCTGTCGGCTTAGCAATTAAGCAAATGTACGGTTGACCTGGCACATTTGATGGATCACACGGAGAAAGAAGATAAGAGAAGAGAATTCCGTAATTTCCCCCGTCAAAGCTCTGACAATTCTCTCTCATACACGTCCGGTGACGATATCTTAGGAGTCGTTTGGAAGTTGCGATTGTTAAATAGATGTATTGTTGAGAATGCATGTATAATATTATACATGTATTGTTGAATTTGATGCATTGTAGAATACAACGTTTGGTATGTGTGATTGTGTATGTCGCATCAGCTAAAAGCCGAGACAAAACAATCTCAACTCAACAATCACAACTAAAAGTTGAGATATAACAATCACTCAAAATGAGTGATAGTTTCTGTCACATCACAGAAACAATCCATGTATTGTTTCTGCTAAAAAAACAAAAAAACGATGCATTGTAAACAATACATGCATAATGACAATCTCAACAAAACTATGGCAACTTCCAAACGACCCCATAGTACTTACGTAAATCAAAATATAATCAGCCCACTCCACTTCATTCGTCATTTCATCACAATTACCTGCTAATTTCGTACATACTATAGCTTTAATCACATATTAATTATCCGCATAACATCGACTAATCTGGTTCAAGACGAAGATGGTCTTTAGCCTTTATATCATCACGCGTTAGTTGACAAATTTTAATATAATGCGGTCACAATCACGTAGCTGATCCGTGTGTGTTGACTTTTCCCTGGACGTCGGTCAACAGTCATCGAATATGTCCGTTTTAAAGAGTCTGACAAAGATTTCAATCCAAATCTCCTAGTAGTCTAGACTAGAACCCAGAGATATAAATCCTCTGCAGGTAATTTGTAAGCAACCGGATAGTGATGATCATGGCGCCTTTCGAGTTCAATTCCACTACCCATTTCCTCGCTTCATACGACTCCACCACGATCGACGTCTACGAGCTGATGATTTCGTCAACAAGCTCACCGCCGTCAGCGGTCAGAGCCACCGACTGCAAGCTCGTCACAATTATCGCGACCTGTAGCCGCGACCAGCTGGAGGAGAATCAATACGACGCCCTGAAGCTGTTCGACGAGGAGATCGCGGGACGGGACCTAAGGAATCTGGCGGAAGACCTCTCCCAGTCCCATTTCTACGTCAACCCACTTGGCAACACCTTCATAGACGTATCCGGCGGCGGCGGAGGATTCGTCGACCCGGCTTTTGGGGTACAGTTCTTCAGATTAAACGACACCTTCAACTGGTCCCAATACGGCGCCGTTAACCCCCCTCCGCCGTCTTCAGTCGCCAATCTGTGGGACACCCGCCACGGATTCCCCTGCCGCAGCGGCGAGAAGAGCGAGGCGATCGTCGATTACAAAAAGCAATTGAAGGAGAAGGACGAGAAATTGGGGGAATTGAAGACTCAATTGAAATCCAATACCCTAGATCTGGAATCGGCGAAGAGGGATCTGGAGAAGTACCAAAAGTGGTGCTACGATTTCAGGTACAGGTACCGCGACACGATCTCGGCCTCCGAGGCGCCGGCGAAGATCCGGCGGCGGCGGGTGAAGGTTGCGAGATCGACGTTCCTGGCCCTGTCGCCGCCGGCGGTGCCGATCAGTCCCGTGCAGTGTCGGGTTCCGTCGTTTAAGGAGGAGGCGATCGACGCGTTCTGGCTGTTGGACGAGGATTGCGGTGGGTTGCCTCCGCCGCCGGCGGTACAGGTGTGGAGCGCCGACGGGAAGTTTGATGCGGAGAATTGGTGGTGTATCAAGGCGAATCGGAGGGTGCAAGGTGGTGGGGAGACGACGATGCTGGTGTATTACGACGGCGATTTCGATTACGCGGTGATTGATAATCCGATGACGTCGAGAAAGGAGCGGGTTTCGGTGCCGTATAAGGTGAAGAACGGGGAGTTCGCGGCGGATCGGAATTTCAGCCTCGGGTATTTTCCTTTTACTTGGGAGGTCAGGGTTGTGTTTACTTACCGCTGGTAAAAAGATTATTGAACATGTATACCTCTGTTCTTTTTATTTAAGACGATTGATTAATTTCTATTCGATTATTTCGTTTTTTTTAGAAATTTTGAATAAACAATCGTTTTTGTAAATCGTATTGGTTGTTCGATCGAGAATTTTTTTTCTTTATTGAAGGTTAAATCGATAGATGATTTTTAGCGATATGAAATGATTAAACCATGATTTCAACATTAAATTGCCTACCGCCAACTTTATCGATACAACCTCCGATACGGTTTTAGAACCTTAGAAAGAACTACCAATATATATAACAAAGATGATTGACCATGATAGAGGTCTTGATTATTACTGAAACTGGTCATGTCACTTTGATAAGCACCATGATAAGTAGTAGTGTTCCTTACTAAGACACGAGCCATGATCACTACTTGATCGATCACAATCAAACTCTCTAACATAAGAAAAAAACGACCAAACATACCTATAATCCTGAATAAACAGGACAATATGCGACCAACTGACACAAAGGCATCAGTACTTCTAAGTTCTTAATTTATTGTTTCCCTAAACCACACAGCAACAAAGTCTTCCACCAGATCATATCATTGATCATCATGTCACAACAGCACTTAAAAGCCTCGCTCTACCAGAAAAAAGAAAGGAACTTCCTAGGAGCCGGAGCCGGAGCAAGGCCGTGGTGATGATGACGATGATGGTGCTTAGACTCCTGTGGAGCTGGTGCCATCTCTGGAGCGTAGACATGGTGATGGCGATGCTGGTGGTGTTCAGCCTTCTCTGAATGAGAGTGGTGATGAACAGGTGCCTCCTCTGGCGCATGGTGATGATGGCGATGGTGGTGGTGTTCTACAGACTTGTGTGGAGGAAGGACATGGTGATGGTGTTCATGAGATGAAGGAGCCATCGCCATTGGAGCGTGAGCAGGAGCTGGAAGGACCATGGATGGAGCGTGAGTCTTGGACTTGTGATGAACACTTGCTGCAGCCTACATTACATCACAAGTTCACAACTCAAAACTAAATTAGCTTTTATCTTGTTAAGATAATGCATCTGTCTTGTTCTAATGAAGAAGTAAAGAGCCTAGCTAGTATCAGTAGCTATATATATATACCTGGGAGGAAGTGGCAGATAGGAAGCAAGCCAGCAAGAAGAAGAGCATCATTGCAGCTGTCTTGGAAGCCATTGCTCTGTTAAATTTGCTGCTTGTTGTGTGTCACATTTGTGCTGTGTGAGGATGTATTATATAGTAGAGAATGTTAGGCATGCATGTCATGTGGGTTAGTCCAATTGATGTGTGTACGTACTTAAACTTAGTTGATCAAGTTTGACTTGCTAACGCTAATCCCTCCACAATCCTCTGCTGTAATTGTGGCTCTAATTTCCTTCGTTTTCACTTTGCACTGTGTGTGAACTTACTAATGCTGTTTCACCAAACTGCCAACCTAACTAATTGCTCCCCTGTTTTAACTTTCCTCTGATAAAGAACTGCTTAGTCCTGTTCCTTGTTTACAACAATGAAACTGTAATTTGAAGAAGTGGTCAAGTTTTTCCAACCATTTCTCTGCTTCAAGCATGTGGGAAGTCTGCGAAAAGATCCTGACCTGAGAAATCCACTTTATACGAAGGTCGAAGAAGCATGTGCTGGTGGTGATTGATACTAGCTCAATTAGTGAACCGCTTTGTCTCTATTTTCCGGTGGGAACCCAATTACCAACTTAGTCAAAGTTTAGCTGAAAGAGCAGACATTGAAATTGATTCCAGAGAGAAAAGAGGGTTACGTTTATATTGTTTCAAAAATTTACACTTGAATCCAACAAATAACATCAATATTTAATTTTTAAATTCTAAAAGCAAATAAAAAATTATTTTTTATCACTTAAATTTATCAAACGGCGTCATTTTGCTTAGAGGTTGAAAATCGATCATGTATGTCAATATTGAGAGCATTCTAGCCAGGTTTATAATCGATACCGATTGTACACGATTGTATCGGCCGACATGACACTTGTTTGACAACCATGAAAAAAGGTAATTTCTCATTTGGATATAGCAATAACACGTTTGATTGAGAAAATATTATGCAACATTTGGTACCTGTTACTTGACACTTGACAGATACTAGAAGAGGGATGGTGTTCACCAAATAACATATTAGTGTCTTTTTTTTTTGAAGTAGAGTGGTCGTTTCATTAATACGAAACACGGTGTACAGAGTTGATACAAGTACGACACTAAAAGGAAGGAAACAACCTACTGAACAGGAAAGTCTAAAAGTAAGCCAACAACGGCCCAAATAACATATTAGTGTCTCTGTTGTTCAATCATGTCTTCGTTCATTTTTATTGTCTCTAATTTTGTCCCACTTTTTCCTCTTTCCTTCCCCAATTATCCCATAACCATTATTTGGTTGCCTGCCTCTATTATTTTAATATTTTATAACTGAATCTTTAAACACACTAATATCTCGTTGGATCTGGTAATAACACATTTGGTTGACAAAAGAAGGATGCAACATTTTGTACCTGTTATCTAACAGATACTAAGAGAGGGTTGGTATTCACCAAATAATATGTTATTGTCTTTGTTGTTCAATAATGTTCTCTTTCCTTTTGTATAAATCCCAAACTATCATCTCATTTTCGTCCCGCTTTCTTCTCTCTTTTTCCAATAATCTCATAACCATTATTTGGTTGCCACTATTTATTTTTGTATTTTATAACTAAGGTGAATTTTTTAATGCACTATTATATTAAAATGACGTATATAACTCCATACATTTAAATACCCTAGTATATGCATGTTGACATACGCTGATCAAATGAGAAAGAAATGACAAATGTGGTTAAGGAAGAAGGACAAATTGATAAAATAGCAAATTTGAGTGCAAATACTACATCAATAATACAACTACTTATAATCCATTCAAACATGATATTTTATTCGAATAAAAAATATTATTTCATAAAATAAATAAATAAATATTATGACATGTGATATTATATTTGTATAGTAATGAGTTCAAGTGACAAATATTGAAATATCACATGTCAGTAATATCTCTAGAAATACGACATCCAAACCATAAACTGATGGTGCTAAATGCATCCACGCTCGAGCATTAAAAAAAGAACATCAAGGCCCAAGGCCCAATAGTCACAAAGATTAAATAAATACAACCTCCATCTAGATAGGCCTCTTCTTAACGGCCCACAAATAGTCAACAAGGAAGAAGAGCATGCTTTGACTTTGAAGCCATTCCTCATGTTATGGTCACTAAAGGTGAGAATGGCTTGTGAATAATTTCATCCACAATATGTTTTTGCTCGTGATGTGTCACCTTGTGCCACAAAACAGGTTAATAACCATATTATTATGGGTTGTTTGGATGCTTCAATTAAAAAATAGACAAATTGATAAATTGTCTCAATTTATAAAATAAGTCAATTCGAATTGTCTGCCTCAACCCCAGACAATTGTAATTGCCTCAAAATTAGAGGTGGCAATTAGGATCCAAATCCATGAATCCAATCCAATCCATCCACCAAATTATCCACCTAATCCAATCCATTTGATCCAAATCCAATTGGATTGGTGGATTCATGGATCAATCCATGGATCCAAATGACAAATTACGATTTGGTACCTATATTTTTTATATTTTACATTTTGGTACCTAAAATTTATATTTTTATACGAAAAATATCATTGGAAAATTACATTTTGGTACCTAAAATTTTTCATTATGACATTTTAGTACCTAAACTTTTCAAAATTTACATTTTGGTCCAAACCTTGGATGTTATTTGGATTCATGGATCAATCCACCAATCCATTGGATCCAATCCATTTGATCCATGGATCCACGAATCCAATCCACGAATCCACGAATCCGATCCAATTGCCACCTCTACTCAAAATGAATCTTCAAATTTCTCATGCAGAATTGTTTCATCTAAAATTTGTGCTGCCAAATGGATCAATTTGGCCAAATTAACTCAAAATAAGACAAACTAGCCAAATTGATCAGTTAGAATTCCTCATCCAAATGACCTATATGTTCATCCAGATAAACAAAATATTACGATATAGCAACCACCCCGACCCGCTGTCATTGTGTCACAACATCGCATTTTATAATGACCAATACTGTAAACTTCATACTTTGTCACTAAAATATTTGAGTGATAGCAAATAACATTAAATACAACGAATTCATCTTTAGAGAGACCTCTTGATTTTGAATCAAGTCTTTGACAATAAAACATGCACAGTTAACTAGTTAATTCGATGAAATTTTTGATTGACCAACTAAAACAATTGATTAACGACATGGTACTATCAACATTCACGGTCTGTTGAGCATTTTTGTTTCAAAAACCAATTATAAAATCGTAATAAACAAATATAATAGGCAATTATATCTGCTCATACCCATATCAATACTACTTTACCTCGAAGTTTCCTAGAAATTGTGTTTACAGTTTACACCCTAGGGCACCCCTTATACTGGTGTCAATGGAACATGACAAGTATTTCAATATCCACATCCATCCCGAACTAAGGTAGGTGATGTTGGGTAATACTTGCGCGAGTATAAGGTGAGATAGGTCCATATATTCTTATATATCGAACAAAAGTACACAATAATTTAACTCTTTTTACAATAAAGCAACAACACTTCATAAATGAAAAAATGGAGTCTAAAAGTTGAAAGATGGAGTCTTGCAGTTATTCAAATTTCATGGAGTGAACATATGATTTAAGAAAAGACAAAAGAGGTGAAGAAAGACTTGATAAAAAATGATTATACCGTTGGTCTTTAATCTGGAGGGTCTCATGTTCGAGTCCATTAATTAACGTGTAGTAAGAAACATTAATTGATGCAACCCTTATAAATAAAGGTCAAAATTAAAGAGAATAAATACAAGTAGATATTGATACAAATCAGATAAAAAGGCTTTTAGTACATATCACTATATCAGAACGCATTGAAACATATA